AGTTCTAAAGTGAACCTCACACATAGGAAGATATTTCATGCAATGCAGAGCCGAAAGGGTCATACAGCTTGCTCATCTTACAGATAAGGAAAATGAGTCCCAAAGCAAGGGAAGGGTTTCCTAGAGTAAGACATTTAGTTGTCAATTAAATGACATGCAGGTCAGAGATGGAAGGTTGGTAAACTGACTCTCTCTTCCCAGCCTTGGGTGCCAGTTTTTTTTCTGTGCCAGTCCTCAGGGTTTGTTTACACCAAGGCAGGTCTGGAATTGCCACACTGGATAAATGTTAACGTCGGGATTCACAAAGTATATTCAGTGGGACAAAATTAACTTAAATATATTGTACTATGGTTGAATACTTTTCAGACATGCAAGGAGAAACCAAAGAAGCCAGTAGATTTCTCTTCCTTCGAGGCTCTGTTTCTTGGGGCCATTACAATTGAATGTGCCTGCAAATCTCATAGAGGGGTTAGAATGCTCAGCACTTCCCACACTTCTTGACAATGGAACCCTCTTCTCATGGACCAACTTATAAGACTAATGATTCTCAAGAACTCCTACTGGGAAAGGCCAGTCACAATTCCCTTGTTTACTTGTGAGGAAAGGAAGCCACAGAGAAGTTTTATGGGACAAGCTTCTATTTTGGAAAAAACTAATCTCAGGGGACTTCCCTGCTGGTGCAGTGGTTAAGAATCCACCTAACAAAAGAAGTAAAACTGTCACTGTTTGCAGATGACATGATACTATACATAGAGAATCCTAAAGAGGCCACCAGAAAACTACTAGAGCTAATCAATGAATTTGGTAAAGTTGCAGGATACAAAATTAATGCACAGAAATCTCTTGCATTCCTATACACTAACATTGAAAGATCAGAAAGAGAAATTAAGGAAACAATCCCATTCACCATTGCAACAAAAAGAATAAAATACCTAGGAATAAACCTACCTACGGAGGTAAAAGACCTGTACTCAGAAAACTATAAGACACTGATGAAAGAAATCAAAGATGACACAAATGGATGGAGAGATATACCATGTTCTTGGATTGGAAGAATCAATATTGTCAAAATGACTATACTACCCAAAGCAATCTACAGATTCAATGCAATCCCTATCAAATTACCAGTGGCATTTTTTACAGAACTAGAACAAAAATCTTAAAATTTGTATGGAGACAAAAAAGACCATGAATAGCCAAAGAAGTCTTGAGGGAAAAAAAAGGAGCTGGAGGAATTAGACTCCCTGACTTCAGACTATACTACAAAGCTACAGTAATCAAGACATATGGGACTTCCCTGTGGCACAGTGGTTAAGAATCCACCCGCCTAATGTAGGAGACACGAATCAATCCCTGGTTCGGGAAGATCCCACATGCCACGGAGCATCTAAGCCCGTATGCCACAACTACTGAGCCTGCACTCTAGAACCCGTGAGCCACACTACTGAGGCCATGTGCCACAACTACTGAAGCCTGCGCACCTAGAGCCTGTGCTCTGCAACAAGAGAAGCCACTGCAATAAGAAGCCCATGCACTGCAACAAAGAGCAGCTCCTGCTCACCACAACTAGAGAAAGCCCACGCACAGCAACGAAGACCCAATGCAGCCAAAAATGAATAAAAAATAAATTAAATAATTTTAAAAAAAGGACAATATGAAAAAAAAAAAAAAAAGGACAATATGATACTGGCACAAAAACAGAAATATAGGTCAATGGAACAGGATAGAAATCCCAGAGATAAACCTGCGCACCTATGGTCAACTAATCTATGACAAAGGAGGCAAGGATATACAATGGAGAAAATACAATCTCTGCAATAAGTGGTGCTGGGAAAACTGGACAGCTACATGTAAAAGAATGAAATTAGAACACTTCCTCTTAGAGGAAAACATAGGAAGAACACTCTTTGACATAAATCACAGCAAGATCTTTTTTGGTCCACCTCCTAGAGTAACAGAAATAAAAACAAAAATCAACAAATGGGACCTAATGAAACATAAAAGCAAAGGTAACTACAAACAAGACGAAAAGACAACCCTCAGAATGGGAGAAAATATTTGCAAATGAAGCAACTGACAAAGGATTAATCTCCAAACTATATAAACAGCTCATGCAGCTCAATGTTAACAAACAACCCAGTCCAAAAATGGGCAGAACACCTAAATAGATTTCTCCAAAGAAGATATACAGATGGCCAAGAAGCACATGAAAAGCTGCTCAACATCACTAATTATTAGAGAAATGCAAATTAAAACTACAATGAGGGGCTTCCCTGGTGGCGCAGTGGTTAAGAAGCTGTCTGCCAATGCAGGGGACACAGGTTCGAGCCCTGGCCGGCGAGGATCCCACGTGCCACGGAGCAACTAAGCTCGTGCTCCACAACTACTAAGCCTGAGCTCTAGAGCCCGCAAGCCACAGCTACTTAAGCCCGCACGCCTAGAGCCTGTGCTCCACAACAAGAGAAGCCACAACAATGAGAGGCCTGCGTACTGCAATGAAGAGTAGCCCCCGCTCACCACAACTAGAGAAAGCCCGCACACGGCAGCAAAGAGCCAACACAGCCAAAAATAAATAAATAAATTTATTTATTTATTTAAAAAAAAAAAAAAAACTACAATGAGGTAACACCTCACACCAGATAGAATGGGTATCATCAGAAAATCTACAAACAACAAATGCTGGAGAGGGTGTAGAGAAAAGGGAACCCTCTTGCACTGTTGGTGGGAATGTAAACTGATACAGCCACTATGGAGAACAGTATGGAGGTTACTTAAAAACTAAAAATAGAACTAACATATGACCCAGCAATCCCACTACTGGGCATATACCCAGAGAAAACCATAATTCAAAAAGACACATGCACCCCAATGTTCATTGCAGCACTATTTACAATAGCCAGGTCATGGAAGCAACCTAAATGCCCATTGACAGACAAATGGATAAAGAAGATGTGGTACATATACACAGTGGAATATTACTCAGCCATAGAAAGGAATGAAATTGGGTCATTTGTAGAGACGTGGATGGATCTAGAGACTGACATACAAAGTGAAGTTAAGTCAGAAAGAGAAAAACAAATATCGTATATTAACACATATATGTGGAACCTAGAAAAATGGTACAGATGAACTGGTTTGCAGGGCAGAAATAGAGACACAGATGTAGAGAACAAACGTATGGACACCAAGGGGAGAAAGTGGCAGGGGGTGGTGGTGGTGGGATGAATTGGGAGATTGGGATTGACATGTACACGCTGATGTGTATAAAATAGGTAACTAATAAGAACGTGCTGTATAAAAAATAAATAAAATAAAATTAAAAAAAAAAGGAATCTGCCTGCCAGTGCAGGGGACACAGGTTCAAGCCCTGCTCAGGGAAGATCCCACATGCTGCGGAGCAACTAAGCCCATGCGCCACAACTACTGAGCCTGAGCTACTGAGCCCGTGTGCCACACTTCTGAAGCTGGCACGCCTAGAGCCCATGCTCCACAGCAAGAGAAGCCACTGCAATGAGAAGCCCACACACCACTCTGAAGAGTAGAGACCCGCTCGCTGCAACTAGAGAAAGCCCGCGTGCAGCAATGAAGATCCATTGCAGCCAAAAATAAATAAATTTATTTAAAAAAAACCCAAACTAATCTCAGGGGTAACCAAGCACCAGGCATGCCCACTCTAGGCAGCTGTCTACTGAAATAATAATTCCAGGGTGCCCTATTTAGGCACAGTTTGGATCTGAGATTATCTGTTTAATTCAGGATCTGCAATGCCATCTTGGCCCTCCCTAAAGCATATCTTGAGTCACTGGAGAAGATAGAATTGACCCAGTTTTTCAGTGACCTCCAGACCACCTGTGTTCAACAGGTCAGCTAGACTGCCCATACCATGCTGAACTGGATTTCAGGAATAGACCTGCATTTCAGGGTCTTCCTGGGGCTACACTGCACTTGAGAATCAATGAGACAATTATTGTCCACTGTTTACCTGCCCATATATTGCTATATTGTCAAACATTCCAACTTCCAATGTTATGTGACTAACCAAGAAAACATTGCTGATAAACTCTCTCCACTTTCCTTCTTAAAAAACAAACTGTTCTGGTCCCGCTGACAGTGATGGAAAGGTGAGTTAGATATTAGTTCAAACTCTGTCAAGTGAGTTAGGCATTCCCAGACTGCTCATTACCTCACAAAGAGCGTTAAGAACTAGTTAACCTTTTTTTTTTTTTTAAAGAACTATTTAATAAATCACTCTCAAAGGATGGCTTAGGTAGGTTGGTTTGGCATATACAGGACCTCATAAAATGCCACCTCCTTCACATAGCCTTTTCTTGCTAACTAGAAAGTGATACAGCAGCTTCCTCCCCTAAGACCAGCTCATACAATCACTAATGGACATGGAAATGTATATTCAATTTAAAAAATTGTCATCTAAGCTAGATGTACCTTTTATGTTGTAAATTCTATGGCTGCCTCTCTGTTCATACTTACATATACATGTATACACAAATACATGTAATGAATAATTTTTGAACTCTAGACCTTATTTTTAACAACAACGTAATGACATATATTCAAACTAGTATTTGGGAAGTCATTTTCCTGGAAAGAAATTCACATACACATACACACACATATATGCGTGCAAAGATGCACACACACATACACACGTATATTTGTGTGTGAGGGCAAGAGTTGGAGGTACTGACTATGGAGTAAGTTCAAAGCCACACAAGAAAGCCAGCTTTGCTATCTTATCTTTATATCTCATGTTGGAAATTCTTTAGGAATCAGCAATTTAACGCTGACATTTTTTGAGACCCATTCATTTGCGAAGTTTGGTTGGCAATGGACAGTAAATTGTTGTAAATTCTGATAATTTACTGCATAACAATTGAATATCTATGGGTAGTGGGTTGAAAGGACAATTTTGGGCTAGGCTGTGGAGAGGGAAAACAGAAGCAAAACAATGAAAGCCCTTGGCTGTTCTCATTGCAATACAGAGATCCAGAGACTCGCTGCTTCAAAGTCAGGACTCTCAAAACCAGGAAACTTCATGAAGAACTCACTTAGAAGATATACCTATGTCCAAGACCTCCAAGGAAGCAGGGACAGGAGAAAGAGAACCTAGAAATGGATCAGAAGGTAATTTTAAAAGCTCCCTCTTCCATGTTTATGTGTTTTTCATTGTAGGGAGCATCAGTAGGAGGAGGTAGGAGTATTTAGAAGGGGGAGGAGGCATATTGCTGAAATTTAGTATGTCTGACATGGATTTTGGAAAGCAAATAACACCTGGGAGTTTTGATAATTTGAGAAATCTCTTATTCATACCTACACATCCTGCTATGTTATTGTATCTGCATGTTTCACAATTGAATGTATTTAACTGTATACTGTATAATGTATTTCTGATGTATATTTGTTTAGCTACTGTCTCTACACTAAAGAGACAGTAGCTAAAGCTCTACACTATGTAGAAGAGAATAGCCATATGGCAATGTCAAACATGCCATTTTCCACTGCTTAGCTCGGCATTCAGGGTCCTCCACAGCATAACTTCTACTTTAGAGTCTTCCATTACTTCTCTACATATACCTTACTTGACCTAAACCAGATTAATCTTCATTCCTCAAACATGCCACACACTTTCCCACCCCTATGTGATTGCTCATACTATCTACTAATCCTGGAATGCTCTTCCCCCTGTCATTTCTGGATCTTAAAGTTGTATCCAAAATTCACTCAAAAATGCTGTGTCCATGCTTTGGATTCAAGATAGCTGACTGAGCACACACATTTATTTCCACCTTTCTCAAAATCCTAATAAATTTTATGAAAAAGTTATTAATAGTAACAAATGACAAATCAATAACAGGAATAAAAAGAACTTGATACATAGTATCTACTAGAAAGTCTATACAAAATCTAATTTACAGTGAAAATAAGTGCTTTAATATACCTAGAAATACACTTATACTATTAATGTGCAAGACCTATATAACAAAAACCATAAAACTTTAGTAATGGATGTAAAAAAGAATCTGGATGGGAAGATTACATTATCAAGTATCAATTCTTGCAAAATAAATCTACAAATTCAATGCAATTATTAAAAAAGAATCCAAAGATAATTTTCATGGAACTTGATAAACTAATTCTCAGTACTTCTAAAAGAACAAAAGTATAAGAATATCTAAATGAATTTTAGAAGAATGAAGGAAGCTTGCCCTACAGATATCAAAACATACAAAAGAGATACAATAACTAAAACAGTGTGATACTGATTTAGGAAGAGTCAAATAGATTAATTGAATGAACACTTTTTAGGGAAATTGATAAGCCACTTCTAAAATTTATGTAGAATATCCAAGACAGGTAGAGCCAAAACTCTCTTACAGATAATATGGTGGGAGGACTTGCTCTTCCAGACATCAAGGCAGATCATAAAGCTACAGAATTACAACAGTGTGATATTGTAGACCAGTGGATAGAATAGGGAGTCCAGAAAGAACTCATACATATATGGATAGGATTGATACCAGAGGAGGAATTTCATCAGTGGGGAAACAATGGAGTTTTTAGTAAAAGGTGCTGGCATAATTGGCTATCCATATGCAAAAAATAAAATTAGATCTCTTGTTCATTATATAAAAAAAAATTTCCAGATAGGTTAAACACAAATATGAAAGGTAAGACTCCTAGTATTTAGAAAAGTATACAGGAACACATCTTCATGATCTTAGGGAAGAATTTTTTTTTTTTAATTGGAGTATAACTGCTTTACAATGTTGTGTTTCTGCTGTACAATGAAGTGAATCAGCTCTATGTATACCTATGTCCCCTCCCTCTTGGACCTACCCCCCCCATCTAGGTCATCACAGAGCACCGAGCTGAGCTCCCTGTGCTATACAGCAGGTTCGCACTAGCTATCTACTTTACACATGGTAGTGTATTTATGTCAGACCTAATCTCCCAATTCATTCCACCCTCCCCTTCCCCCTCCGTGTCCACATGTCTGCGCTAGTCACAAAGGAGAAAATTGATGAGGTCGACTACATGAAAATTAAGAACTCCTGTTCATCAAATGTCAGTGTGAAACTAATGAAAAGAACCACAGAGAGAGGAAGATATTTACAACATATATAACCATCAAAGGATTAGTATCCTTTATAGGATCCTATAGATCAATGATCAGGGGGCCAAGAACTCAACAGAAAAATGGGCAAGAGAATTAAACAGACACTTCTCAAAAAACAACAAAACATCCAAATGTCTAATACACATAGGAAAAAGAGTTCAACTTTACTAGTGTCATGGAAATGCAAATTAAAACCACAAGATTACATTATTTCACACCCATCAGACAGATGAAATTTAGAAAGCTTAATCTTAAGTGGTGGCCAGGTTAAGAGCATACATGTAAAGAATGTAAAAAATTCTTATCAATTTACATGATAAGAATGTAAATTGGTACCAACATTGGAAAACAGGTAGCATTATTTAATAAAGTTGAAGATAAGCATACTCCTCAACCTATAATTTACCTGCCTACTTACATACTCTGGTCAGTTAATTGTCTATGAGTACCAGAATACACATGCAACAATGTTCATTTCAACTTTGCTCTTAACTGACAAAAGCTGGATATACTCAGTTCCTCCTCACCAGCAGAATGGATAAATAGAAGTATTGTCATATTGTACAATAATTAAATTATTACACAATAATAAACATTATTATATGATAATATTATACAATAATAAAAGTAATGACATTAAGTGAAAAGTTAAGTTATAAAAATTACATACAGCATGAATCCATTATATAAAATTTAAAAACAGACAAAACTAAACTATATTGTTTAGGAGTGCATACAGAGGTGGCAAAACTAAAAATAAAAGCAAGGACATTTTTACTCTCAAGGTCACGACAGAAATGACCTTTCTGTACCTGAGTGATAGTTATATAAATGCTCACTTTACCACCGTTTGCTAAACTGTACACATAAGCTTTATACAGTTTTCCGTCTATTATACTTCACAACAGAAACAAAATTAAAGTAAAAAACAAAAACAAAAACCCAGAAAGTAAAAGGAGAACAAAACAAGAAAAAACACAAGAGACTAGAAACAGACATCCATGTTAATTCAACAAGTGCTAAAAGTGGCATTTCAAATTCAATTTACTTGTTAAGTAGAGTCGAAACTGGAAAGAAGAGATTGCCTGATTTGACTGCATATGGATTTAAAACATCTTTATGGCCACACACACCACAAACAACTTGGAGGAAATACGCACACAGAAGAAACACATGGCCAATAGCTATAATATATTAAGAATGACTGGGGCTTCCCTGGTGGCGCAGTGTTTAAGAATCTGCCTGCTAACGCAGGGGACAAGGGTTCGAGCCCTGGTCTGGGAAGATCCCACATGCCGCGGAGCAACTAAGCCCGTGTGCCACGTCTACTGAGCCTGTGCTCTAGAGCCCGCGTGCCCCAACTACTGAAGCCCATGCACCGAGAGCCTGTGCTCTGCAACAAGAGAAGCCACTGCAATGAGAAGCCCGCACACTGCAACAAAGAGTAGCCCCCGCTCACCGCAACTAAAGAAAGACCACGCGCAGCAATTAGGACCCAACACAACCAAAAATAAATAAATAAATAAAATTAAAAAAAAAAAGAATGACTATAAATCAGTATAGGTGGGGAGATATGGGCCAATAATACACCGAATAAAAGATACAAATGGTCGATAAACATATGAATAAATAACCAACTTTATTAGTAGTTGGTAAAGTGCAAAATAGAAAAAAATATATAATATGCAGGAAAATTTAAAATACAATGTAATTATTTGTGCAATTGTATATTAAACTTATTAAATTATAAAATAATGACAAAATATAAAAATTAAGGGGGTTATTAAAGCCTGAGTCTCCTTCTAGCTTTACCTTTCTTAGTGTATGACTTACACCCTCATGCTCTGCCCTCGGACATTACATCTGTGTCCCAGGCCTAGAGAAGGGTGGAATGGCAAGAGGAAAACAGTATGTGCCTGCTGAATCTGACCCTGCTCCTCAGTAAAATCATACCTTTCCCAGAAGGCTTATTCTCTAGAATTACACTTAAATCTTATTGGCAAAACTATGTCACCTTTTCCCCCTAACATTTAAGGAATTGAGGAGGAATGTATTTTTTAAATTAGCATATTTCTGTCCCAAACTAAATTGCAGTTCCGTTAAAAAGCAAGAAGTGCTTAGTCAACTCCTGCTGCAGGATGGAAGCACCTAGAACAGTGCCTGCTACATTGTACATAATAAATATTAGTTAAAGGAATGGGAATTTTCATATTGTAATCTACATAATCCCCAGAATGACAGTGAGGGGCATCAAGATGAGATCTGAGTACCAGGAAATTAGGTCAGATAGAACAAAAGGCTCCCTGAGAGATCTAAGATGAAATGGATATAACTATAAAATGCTACTTGATGTCTTTGAAAACACCAAGAGCGGATTTAGACAGAAAGTTTGAGGTAGTGATAAGCCTCTAGAATTGTGCTGTTAACACCATAACCACCAGCCCCGTGTGACTATTTAAGTTTAAATTAAACAAAAAAATATATAAAAACTCAGTTGTGCAGTCATGCCAGCCATATTTTGAATTCTCAATAACCGCACGTGGCTGGTGGCCACCATCTTGGTGGTGCTGGTATAGAACTTTTCCATGACTGCAGAGAGCTCTATTGGATACTGCTTATCTGGAAAAATGAAGCTGATGGAGAAAAAAAAGGAGAGACAGAAAACAAACAACAACAACAGCAACAAAAACTATCAACTTGCAGAAAAGCAAACCCTTGTGCAGGAAAAGAAAAATAATCATAATATATATATGGGGTTCAGCTATGAATGGCCTTTTGCTAATCATAATAACGTAAACATTGAATTCTGAATTACATAAATAGAACATTATTGGGAGGATAGAGATTGGGGGAGGAGGCTTGTGTCTGGTGAGAGTTATATAAAAGAGAACTAAAGCCTGATCTTCCAAGGTGGGAACCTGACAGATAATGCCAATGACTGGAAAACTCAGAAAAGAATAATATAGACATTTTGTTAAATATGTAGAGATAAATAACAAAAGATTCAGTTAAAAGGGTTAAAATTATTGTTTCCAGGGTGGGAAAAATAAAGGAATAGTGGAAACAGGAGGCACTGATTTTAATAACAAGCCTTGCAAAACTATTTGATTCTTAAATGATGTGCAGATAAAATTTGGTTAAAATAATTAATAAAATCAAACTGCAGCAACAAAAACTCTTTTACAATGCCATTTCCTCTATCAAATCTTTTCTGGTCCCCAGACGTGACACTTCTATACTTTGATATTTCAGAAAGCGTCATCTGAAGCTCTGCTATTGGTACCTCACTGTACCCTGCTTTGTTTTGTAGCCAATTATATAGGCTTATAGCCAAACTCCTATTGATTCATAAATTCTGAGACTAACTACCTACTGGTTTCAGAAGTGTCACAATATTTTGGTATTTCAGCCTAATATAAAGAGTAAAGATTCCAATAAAATGTTTAAAGATGTAATAATAATTTAAAAATAATAATAGCTAACCTTTATTGAGCACTTACTATGTATAAGGCATATGATAAGAAGCTACCAATAGATCAAGGTGTCAATTGATTTTTTTTCCACAGAAGAGGCCGTTGATAGGCCAGAAAAATAGAGGTGCTCTTTTGTCTCGAGGGCATAACTCCAGATAAGCATTAATCTATGCCTATTTTTTACTTTTTAAAAGGCCCGTATTATTTTTCAATTTAACACCATCTTTTAAAAAGCACATAATGAATAGTAAGTCATAATTCTAGTTTGCAGCTGCCAGGTGAGTGATCTCATAATCCACACAAATATTCCTTGGTCATAAAACCTGTGGAAACAAAAGGAACAGGTATAATTAATTCAGATGATAAAATGATGTTCAAATTTTACCACCATATGAATCATGGAAGGGGGAGAGATACGTATGTTTGAAATGTGACATTACTTCCTAACATTTAACCAAAAAGAACTACAATAATATGTTTAGTTTCAAATCCATATCAAGATGTGAGTGACCCATGGGGTTTTTGCCTTAATACAGGGAAGTGGAAAGGGATTAAATCAGTGAAAATTGATTTCAGGTAGAAAATTGTTGGATGAGTTTTACGAAGTCAATGCCTTACACTCTGACTTGCGTAATAGAGCATTATCTTCTAGTAATTTACTGATTTCCATTTTATCTGCCCTTGCTGTTCAGAAATTGAACCCTTTTGTGCCTGCATTCACACTTTGCTTCTAGGAAGCATTTGAGTAAATAGAAAATCAATAACCCAGTTACATATGAGAGGCTCTGCATTCCTAGCAGCTAGGCATGCTTAGAAAGGGAGAAGGTGATGAACATGATCTTGGCATTCTCCCCACCTGGTTTAGTAATAGAAAAATGATGGGGCCTAATCTCTCTAATTACGCCCTGTGGATACCTTGTCTAGTGTCACCATCAAGTATTTTCACCAATCACTTCATTTTTATCACATTTTTTAAAATTGGTTTTGCCAACTTGATGTTTTCTGGATCTTATCCCCGTTTCTTTCACATTAACACCTGTGACTTACCTGTGGCTCACCTGGTGAGCTGTATATGAGCGAGCATAGTTATCTCCATGAAGATTGGAAAATTGACAGGAAGAAAGTTGCAGAAAGCTTAAAGCCCCTCAAAGTCATGCTGATTTTCTTCTAAATTTTTTTGCATGAATATGGTATTAAACAGAGCTGTAGGAAATGAGAGATTAAACATAAATTTGAACCCCGTACTCTGGAAGTTAGGTGAAATTCCATTACATTTGAATACTTCTATGCAAGCAATTTGTTACCCTTTATCCTTTAGTGGAATTGATGAACAGGTGGTTTTCAGAAGCTCACTCAGTATATTTAGCCTCTGAAATTTGAGCAACTCGAGATCTGATTGGCTGCTCTGGCCACATGATAATTCGGAGCCCAGGCTCCTCGCTGGCTCTTGCCTGGGGTTCTCAGGAGGGGAGAGTTGGGAGAGGCTTTGCTGCTGAGGAAATTTATTTGGTAGATTGAAGGTAAGGCCAATTTACGGCTTTTTCTGTAATATTCTTTCAGGAGCTGTTCCACAACTTCCTTTGAAGTATTTTCCAAAGTTTGGGTTGTAACTGGGGAAATGAGTGACGCAAATGTGACTAGGAAAGTTTGTAACCCCATTGCCCTACTCAGACCTTACTAATACGTGACATGTAGTGTGTGATTAGAGTCGAGTCCTATATTAACCAATTTATTGCTTGACTGAGTTGGCTCTGTTGTCTAACAATTTTTTTTCATTTTTTGCCTTTTTTTTCCTAAATATATTAGTACAAAAAGGATCTATGTTCTACGTTCCTATATTTATCTGGTTCTACTGGGCTTCATTTGCCTCAGAAGGAGCGGCAGTTTTGCTAGCGTAACAAAACCAGCCACAGCTGGGGTATTGATTTACATGGCAAATATCTTTGGGCGAAGGGACAGCTGCTCCAAATCATCATCCACTTTTATCAAGGGAGAGTCCTACTCTCTGGCGTCAAACTAAGAAGGCCTTGGGAGATCCTTTTGCTAGTTCCTGAATTAGAAGCTTAGGCCAGAGACCCACCATCTCATATGTACTTCAATCAATGCTTTAACAATTTGTTATTTTTCAGGTTTGAACAGAGCTACAGAAACAAAAGAGAAAAAGCCACACAGGCCAATGGTGTTCGGGAAGAGGATAACCCCATTGCCTTGAGGTTTCTATTTTTTCTTTTAAAGTCTGTTGACAGATTTATTTTTATGTGTTCTAATTTGAAGCATAGGATCTATTGCATAAAATGTAGTAGAACAGGATGGAGACCTAAGGCAGCCCTCCTAGAATTTGGGTGCTACCATGGAAAACTCCAACTTTTTCTGAAAGCCAAGCTGAACTTTCACTAAAATTTTTGCTTGAAATTTTACTTGAAAATACTGTTCTCCAGGTATCTGGAAATGTAAATACTCTGTACCTTTGAATCCAAACCCTTTACCTCCCTTACCTCAGCTTCCTTTTACAACTTTAGCTAAATTGATCATGTAGCTAGAAGTAGCAATACAAAACATTCCTGCAGGAATCAAGAGAAAGAAATTTGAAAAAAAAAAGAAATTTGAAGGCTCAGATTTTTTAGACCTGTATTTAAATGTCTTTTCTTACTTAGCCTGCAAAAATATATGAATATGTAGAATGGATTAGCCTTAAATTCTGTTTTTAGAATGTTATAAGATGGTTTCAGTCCTGGGGATAGATTCTAATGTATTTTCTAGTGTATAGATTCTAATGTATTTTCATTCGTCTGGAACATGCAAAGTTTGTAGGTGCCACTACTACTCTGGGAAAATGGCAGATGACGAAGAATATGAGGAGGTGGTGGAGGTAAGATTTTTTAAAATCCTGACTCTGACAGCAGAGAATTTTATGTGGCGACAATCAAAATCGTGTAGGTGAACTAATCATTCGAAAAACACATTGTCTATTATAACTTCTCAAGGAGTCATCATTAAAGCATAAGAAAGGAATATTTTACGTTCAGTTTCACTATAATTATGTGGGAGTAGAACTGAAAAGAAGTATCACTGTTTCCCACTTCTGCTTTTCTTTAAACTCTCAGGAAAAAAAAAAAAGTGTGGTGTAAAGACAGATTTTCATTTGTCTTCTGAAGTTACATTCTTCCCCACTTCCCAGACCCCATGATCAAAGGGACTGAGGGGATGAAGAGAAAGTTCTGAGAACTGAACTCTACTTCTTAGTGTCTGCACAGCCACAGAGGAAAAAGAGCTACTTACTCTTTGCTTCAATCAGCTAATTATCTACGTATAGGGCGAAATGACCAAGTGTTCAGAATAATATATATATATGAGCTTATAGACATATGGGAGATTTTATATATGTGTTTATGTGCACACACATACATATATAAAAGCAAACTCATGAGTTTATTTTTACTTGTCTCACAAGTGACAGCTGGAGCCACACTTCCCCACCAACTCCAATATATTTACCCAAGGGAACAAGACTAGCTTTTGCATTTGAATTTTGAAAAAAAACAAAGATCATAGTGGGCATCTTGAAATATTCCCTCAAGATTATTGGTGGATATCTGACATGAGTTATAAAGTTGTTAATTGTTTATTTTATATATATATTTTATATTTATTTTATTTTATTTTGTTTTTATTATGTTGTGGGTTTTCTTTACCACCTCTTGCCTTTAGCATCCATGTGATACATTGCCATTGAATCTGAAGGTCCTTAATTACCAATTAACCATGATGATCTACACATGTGAAAATCTCTAAGTGCCCAAGATAGGTGGAGGCAGCTTTGAAAATCTGTGCTTTTTAATAAGAATGAAATTAACTTTAAGAGTTACCCAGAATCAAATTCAAATTGAACGTGCCAAAATTTGTCTTTGGAAGATTATTTTATGGAGCAGTTTATATTTAGGTCAAGAAAATTTTATTCTACAAATAAAATTGCTTTTATTACTGAAGGATATGAAGAAGAAGGAAAAGAAAAAAAAAACCCAGACTGAGACTCATTCAATATAATGTTCAACTTATCTGGCTTAAATGCCAAAGGTCTTGTCTTCAGTGTTCAATATTATCACTAGTGCATTTTACATACGTCCCTGATGGTCAGAATAATCACTATGAAGCACTAGCACAATTATAAATTAAATTGCCTTTCCTATGATGGTAATACCAGGAATACTTTTTAGCCTCCAACTTAAGTATACCTTGTCTTTCTTAAAATAATTGTGTTCATTGGTCCCTGGAAATTGTCCTTAGTGCTGGATTTGATGGATTTAACTAGATGTCATAAAAATGGAGGAGGCTATTTTTAGGCATCTCACCCTTGCCATTTTGTTCCCATTACTGCTTCTGGGTCTGACCAGCAGGTGATATACTAATAGACTTTCTGCCAGAGAGAATTGAACCAAGGTCTCTCTGACCTCAAAAAAGATGCCATGAGAATGGGATGGTGGCAGATTTAAGAAAATGGGCAGGGAAGAATTCACAAAACAGACAGGAACTAGCTTTAAAAATATATCTCCTGGGGATCTTGGACAACTAAATAAAATTGTACTGTCATTCTGTACTCAAACTTAAACTTGGAAATAAAGGAAAAGGCAGAGATGTACTATCTAATTAGTGGCACAGCTCTAAAAAAAAAAAAGATTTGGCATGTAAGTTAATGCCAACCATTTGGATAATGTTGCCTTTTTTGGTAAGCTTTTTTCTAAGACATGTTTACTAATGATGAGAGCCCAGTAAAGGTAAAATTTGATGGCTACCGAAGAGCTGCTTTTACTTGGATGCTAAGAAAATCCAAAATAGTTGTGAATCACTCACTTTCATTTAAAATTTCTTTTCAAGTCACTGATGTTTTGTGTGGCCAGAAAAATGGTTCCATGTAGATCAGCATCAAATAGCATTTCCTAAAGTGTCCAAATGATAGTTCCCAGGTGATGAAGGCACAGCACACAAGAGATTCTCTGTCCTGTAAGAGCTTGTGATTTATGTTGCTATGTGTAAGGGCACAGAGACAGAATTAGATTTCAAATTTTTAAAAAATAGTACAGGAGCAAAGAAAGCACAGGAGTGGGGGACGTTAAGCAAGTTTTATGCTAATTTTACTGCAAGTGAAACAGACCATGTGGCCTACTGACAATGGTTAAGTAATTTGATGAGAGTTCACTGAACCAAGGGCAAAAGAAAGGCCCCCAAGAGGGATTTTGCCTTCAGTGTTTTTTCCTCCCCCCAAGAATATGTTTTGGTGGTAAAGAAAAAATGAAGCATAAAATGTTATACATTTTGTTAACTGAGAAAATGAACCAAGTGTTTCATTTTTATCCCTTTCCTTGTATGCCTCGGCCTAAACTAGTCTTTCCTTCTGTTCACCCAGCTTTGCTGGGTGATGCTGGGGGCAGGATTCCACTCTCCTTAGCATCTGAAACAAAATGTCAGCCAGCTCCTATCCACGTCTATTTATTGCTAGTGATGTCAGAAGTAGCTCAAAAGTAGATTTGACTTCATATCCAGCCTGCAGGCACCTCAGAGCCATCAGTGGCAAATCGCTGCCTAACTTTCCCACATTTTGTTGATGAGGAATTTCTCCGTAGCAACCCTTTCAGGACCATCATGCTACTAGAAGCAATTTGCCCATCACTCCAGAAGAAACTCTTATTACTTAGTACTCAGGGTGGTGTAGGGATAATTGAGATGTGTCTGTGCTTTCGGATCTATCATTTCCATGATGACAATATTTTAAAATTTTATTCACACTGAGGTTTCTGGTTTTCTTCTTTTTTATTGTTAGTCAGCAGTGAGTTTTATCACAGTTCCTCTCTGCCAACCCACACACTCAAGATATTGTTATTATATTCTTTTCTCAGCAAACTCTATCTAGGGTACCATAAGAAAAAACTTTTACTTGTCTCAAGTGAAATAGCTTCAGCAGAGAAATAGCCAGCATCAGACACTTTCCTCGTCATTCTGTCTGCATCTCCTTGTCCAGTCTGAGGGCTTTCACTGTAGCTACCCTGATGTTTCACATAGTGGGAATGCGTTCCAAAATGTGAACAGCCTCCCTCATCTACGTCCTTCCCACAAATATTGAAAACCAACTGGACTAGTGAAATAAGCCAAGTGGTTCTACTGAGGCAGAGCAGAGGTGATTTCTGCTTTAGTTCTCACGATAACTTTGTTCTCTATTTATAGTATTACACAGAGGAGACAGTCTATGAAGAGGTGCCGGGGGAGGTAAGACCCAGCCCACACCTGCACGAGCTGCATGCTCATTAAAGCAGAGGGAGCCTTCTCCTCTCTCAGACTCCCAGGGCCACCAAGCTGGCAAAAGGGAGAATCTGGAGGATCACTCACCTGTGTGCCCAGCAGCCGGTGTTAAAAGAATGAACGTTACCTGTTTTTACTATTCAATATATCCAAGATGGCTAGGGATGGTTTCCCTTGTTACTCGTATTGTATTTTTGGTGTAGGTGATGCTTATTAGAATGACGTCATTGGCTATCACCACTCTCTGACTGCAGCATAGGTATTGCCTTGGACTTGTGATTTGCACGGGGACCAACAGTTTTATTGTGTACTGTCATAACTTCTGGGGCGCCAGCTCTGCCAAAAGAGATGGCACCTCCAAGCCTTTGTTCTTGATGATACAATAAAATGCTACTTAGATTTTGGCACATTAGGAATTCTGAGAAAGTCATTTCCATAAATATTCCAAGTTGGAACTTTTTTTTTCAAGCTCTCTCATGCTTCATTTTCTGCATGGAGCTGTTTCTCTTGAGCATGACAAATAGTGATATGGATGGCTAACCCTGAAGCCTGCATAAAAACTAACATCTGTAGATGTTGTAAATTGGTTAGTTTCTCACCATCAACCATACATCAGTAATAACAGGCAGAGAGCAACCTATTAACAATGATCTGACAAGAGTAGAGGTAGTTGTCATAGATGTACAATTTCCTTATCATTTAGGTTTCTATTTTCATGATTGATGCTGGAACTCTTCCTTTGGTACAGATGATATAAGCTGTGAAGGAAATTTTACTATGAGATAGATTGAAGATTTAGCTACTTATCTTCTTTTCTTACATACTGTATTTTTAACCTTGGACTAGACCCAAACTTTGGACCTTCGTTTCTTCCACTATAAAGCCTGTTGTAAGAAACAACAATCTCCCACCTACCACATACGTAGGACTGTTGTGAGGCTAACCAATTACCCCATTATGTTGTCATCATTATTCTTGTCTACCTAAGCATTTATTAGTGTAAATGGCACTCCAGTTCACATTAATTTTTTTAAAACATCTTTATTGGAGTATAATTGCTTTACAATGTTGTGTTAGTTTCTGCTGTATAACAAAGTGAATCAACTCTATGTATACACATATCCCCATATCCCCTCCACCTGTGTCTCCCTCCCAGCCTCCCTATCACACCCCTCTAGGTGGTCACAAAGCACCAAGCTGATCTCCCTGTGCTAACTGACTACGCCAAAAGAATGGTAATCACTTGTAATATTGATGTGATTCATTTTTTCAAGTTCATCATTCTTTGTCTCATACTACAGAATGCTTAAAACACCTGCAGAACAAGCAACCAACTTTTTCTTAGAATCATTTAAAAGTTAATATTAAAGTCAAGAATTTGAGCTTTATTTGATTGTCTTCATTTTTTTGTTCCCTGATCCCAGTTTGCTTTTACTTTACCCATGCAGTTTAAGAAGATTTTTGAATGTTTGAAAATATTTTTATTTTTGATTTTTATCCTATCTTAAGGTGTTCCTTTAGGCAAATGGAATTTTAAGGTAATGTTGCAAGTCAGTAAAGAGTAACCATTTTATTCCATGCAATCTGACACAATCAGCATTCAGATTTATGTCACACAATATGCCTTCACATGAATATAGCATGTGAGTTCCTGCTTTGGCCTGCTTTAGATATGGAGAAGTAACACCAGGGATATCAGTCTGACTTGAAGTTAGAATAATGTATATCAGGACTATGGTATCTCAGTTTTTACTTTCATAACAATGTTGCCAAATTTTGACATAACTGCATGTCAAATTTTCAGACAGTAACAGAAATCTATGAAACTACGACAACAAAGACATCTGACTATGGGCAAACAGAAACTTCCAAACCGGCACTGGCACAGCCAGTACCAGCAAAGCCGATGGGGAGGAAGAGAATCGTTCGAAAGAAGGTGGACTCTTCAAAGTTCATGACCCCTTACATTGCACACAGTCAGAAAATGCAGGATCTCTTCAGCACAGTAAGTTTCAAACAACTTCTGCTTCTCTGGTTTTATTATTGAGAAATTACTGATCTCAGCCAACTCTGTTTTGGATGCTGGCTGGATTTTGTTTCTCAACCACGTATGAGACAAAACTTATTGTACAGAAATATAATGTCTTGTAACTCTTGAATTCTGCTTTCAGGTAATTTACTTGCACCATTGCAGCATCAGGGGAAGCATCCTTATTGAAATTGTCCCCACAAAATAAGCATAAGGCCAACTATAAAGCATTTACTGGATTTAATCACTCTTTAATAGCCAGTCTAGAATAATGAAATCATAGTTATAGATTTATAGATATAGATTTAGTTGAAATCAGTTCACAGAAGCTAAATAACACTTATCTACACTATGTCTGAGCATGATGCCCTTCAAGTAGACTAGCTAACAGTATATAACAAGGTCTCTAGGAGGTATAGTGAAAAAGAACGTGTAGTTGAACAAGCCAGGATCAGACTAAGAACTCTTCTGAAAATGAGGATCAGAATGTTTTACTGTACCTTGGAACAGCAGTTTTTTAACTGTGGCTGCACAGTGGAATTCCCAAGGAGCTTTAAAACTACTGATGCCCAGGCTGTTCTAGTTTAATTGGTCCAGGCAGGCCTGGGACCTGTAGAGGAGGATTTTTAAAAGCTTCCCCGGCTCTAATGTGCAGCCCAGGTTGAGAATCACTGCTTTTGATGATCCCTGGTCCTTACATTTCCATGGACAGTTCCGTAAGTTACACTGACTGGCAGCAGGTTTAGACCCCTTTGAATGGATCTCACTTGTTGATTTCCAGAGTAGACTGAGGTCTCACTAGGTGGCCTGATTGCACATCCTCTGGAGGTTTGAAAAAGATGAAAGGTACTCAGGGGTACATCGAATTATATAGGATTAATGCTTATGTCAAAAGCATCCTGTTGTGGTTGGCCAATAAATATTCATTTCTGGTTGAGTGTTAACTACTGGGGACTATTTGGTAAATTTCTAGTTCAGATTATTGAATGATCTAAAATTTAGGTTTTCTAAAGTTTAGATTTCTAAAAACAAGATTATCTTGCCTCTTTTATCACAGTCGTATTCAGCAAAGATAGAAAAATTTATTTGTCAATTTATTGCCATAAAAATCTCATTAATTCAGACACTAATATTCAAGAATTTCTGATGGTCTGAACAAAATGTTGGCAAAGGTTTGTAATATTTTTAAAGTGATTAGTAATGAAATCAATAGTATAATTTAGATTGTTGACTATTCCACTTGAGTCTTCCTGGAGCATTAATAATGATAAATTATGCATATTATTGTTAAAGCCAGAAGTCGTATATTTAGCAGAAATCATAAAATTGCATCCCTTCTTAAAATACTCATAATTTAGACTTCCCATTAATTCAGCTGGTGTCTCAGTTATCTAAATTACTGAGATTTAGCTGCAACTTCTGAACTGAATATTTTTGCATTGTATTAGCAATCAAATCTTTTCAGACTTGACTCAATTTCTATAATTATTTCCTAAAATTATTGAGGTTCCAGCTTTTTATGTGTGAATTTAGACGATAAAAATATTGAAAGAATCATTTTAGGGCATTTCCAAGACAATATTTTATAATAAAATTTCTACTGTCTCCAGTATTCAGCCATGTTTAGGAAGAACAATTAACATATGTATTTTAGTTTTTGTTGAGAATCAGGGTAGGGGACAAAAAGAGAGCTATTATAATTGATAATTGTTATAACCTGCAAGATTAAAAAAATAAGATGGGGATGTGTGCATTACCTGAAATTTCTGCTACTGTGTTGTCAGGGTTTAGGCTAATATCTGATATTCTTTTTAGAATAAATACAAGGAGAACTATGAGAAGGCAAAAGGACAGCCATATGCCATCACAACTGATACCCCAGAACTTCGCAGAATCAAGAAAGTACAAGATCAACTCAGTGAGGTGGGCTGCATTGCTAAAATAAAGGAGAGAGACATTTCAAATATATGCCTACTACTGGGAATTTGAGGGCTTTAAATAGATGTGGAGAGAATAAGGGGTCGAATTACTATGAGCCAGTCCAGAAATCTAGAGGAAGCAACGGCCATAGATTATGCTGCTGTAAATGTGAACCTAAAGAGATTTCTAAAAGCTTGGCTTAAAGGTGATATGAGATGGGAGTTCCAGCTCGCTGTGATCCTCCATACTGGAGCACAGGGAGGCTGAAATTTGCCCGGGAAAGCAGACACGCAGTAAATACAGGTGCTCTATAGATCTTTGGAGATCACAGTTTTCTACCTAAAATGCAGAAACTTGGCTTTGTGATGCAGACATAGAGTAACTGGGTCAGTGCTCTTTATTATAAGATATTCTTTAATATACTCATATGTTCATGCCTGTCATGAGCTCTAATTGTGCATTATTTTTGCAGGTTAAGTATCGAATGGATGGCGATGTTGCTAAAACTATTTGTCACGTAGACGAAAAAGCAAAGGACATTGAACATGCAAAGAAAGTGTCGCAGCAAGTCAGTAAGGTAAGGTCATGGGATGGATAGCTGGGGTACTAAATAGCATGTGCATTGTCTCTGCCTGGCCTTAGAGGAGAAAACTGGACTGGCCAGATCCTGCTCACCAGTCTCACTTGAACCCACAGGCATGGTGGGCTCTAACGGCAACACGTGTCAGGGAGGCTGCACAGGTGACTGAAGTGGCCGGTCAGAGCTATGGGGGTTGGAAAGCCCAGGCCATGCCACTCAGCTCCAGGCAGGTGCTGCACAGAATGCAGTCCCAGTGTCACCAGAGTCTCTTATTTATTTTTTAAAGAAGTTGGGAGGTGAATTTTTATGAGAAATCTCCAAATTTCAAAGGTAGGCAACTAATTAAAACATTAAAAAAAATACCATCTAAGTCAAACACATCTACCATCCAAATTCAGTGAATGACTGACAGGTTGCAACCTTTGTAAAGAATCTCTAGAGAATCAGAATCATGATTTAGTTTACAAAATTAGGCTTTTCAAGTAAAAGCTTACTAATGCAGGCAAATTATCATGGGATGTCGACATGGTCAATGTTTCCATAATTGATGCTGGTGGCACATCAGCAGGCTTTGCATGAGGACAACTTGAGTTTGAAAGACTCTTCATAGTGCTCTCCTTTTGTGCTCTAAATCCTCATGCCCTTGTGGGAGATGTCAAGTCACAGGTCCTCTGTTCTTTCTGTCCAGGTTTTATACAAGCAGAACTGGGAAGACACCAAGGATAAGTACCTGCTTCCTCCTGATGCCCCTGAACTTGTCCAGGCCATCAAGAACACAGCTATGTTCAGTAAGGTAAGGGCCTCTGCTCTGTCGCCACTTCTATCTTCTCATGTCCTCCCACACGTCATGCAGAGGGATACCCCATAAACCCTGGCTAATCTGGAATATGGTTCCCCAACCATTTTGTGAGTAACCTTGAGACATGTGGGGCTACAGGGGTAGGGCTGGCCAGGAGGAACTGAGAAGAAAGCTCTTGGGCCAAGTAGAGGAGAGGGTCTGAACAACCGCGGAAAACAAAGATGCACCTGAGAGCCTGCTGTGAGATCCACAAAGACCCACAGAGTGTAGAGTCTGTGCTACACTTTGGATATTCCCAGCTGTCACTCTCATTAAAGCTTTAATTTTCTCACTCTTATTAAAGGTTTATTAAAGGTTTAAGCACAGCAATTATGCTAAGTGCTTCCTGGCTCCTTACATTTGCATTAGTACTTGCTGCAGGAGGCAGGTGCAGTTACAGAGGGGAGATGAAACAAAATCAGACACGTCTGCCCTTCTGTAAGTAAGACTTGTCAGGAGAAGCTGGAGAAGCTATTAATAAATATGACTTGGATTGAATGGAATTTGTGAATTCCACTTACCTTTGCTCTCACCTTGCCCTGGGTTCTTTATGCCATTGATGGATGAATTCAAAATTATATATTTCAAGTAAGTGTGTTCTCACGTTCTCATAACTTTCATTCTTCCCTGATTTAGAAACTTTACACTGAAGACTGGGAAGCTGACAAAACTTTGTTTTATCCATATAATGATAGCCCGGAGCTGAGGAGGGTTGCCCAAGCCCAGAAAGCTCTCAGTGACGTAAGTGCAGTGCAGTGTGCACATTTGGGAGTGTGGAATCAGGACACCTCGAATTATGTCTTCTAGCCAGAAGTTCATTGCAACTCCTCCTGTAAAAAAGACTAAGTGCTGTTATTGTAAAGGAGTACATCTAGAACCATGATAATTTATGATGTCTAATTTAAATTAGATTTTATAATTTATATTACATATAAGTTAGTCTAATGCCCTCTTCTTACTGGTGAGGAACATGAGTCTAAGGTCACATAAGTAGTTAGTGGCAGAGCCCAGACCAAAAGCCTCGTCTTGTGATCCTAAGACCAATGTTCTTTCCGCTAGAGCATGTGTCCTTCTATCCCGCTGGCTGGAGTTAAGTTTTTCTGTGACATTAGAGTGGCATTTAAAAAAACTTATTGGGATTATAGCCACCTTCCCAGTTGTATTAAGGGAACAATGTTATTGAAGGATTTTGATTTGCTATCCTAATCATAAAGTCTGAACTGTGGTATGTCCCCTACTTCTGCACGGGGGACCTGACTACGTACTTGTCCAAACATCTTGGTGTGGTTATCTCACAAAGAGCTCTCACCATTGAGTGTACATAGAGGATATTTCAGAGTTAGTGAAAAAAAAAAAAATTCAGCAGCCCCACTGGCCAGAATTTTAGTATCCTAGACCTTGAAATCTTTATTAGAGGAACTTAAAAGGCATAATAGAGCTCTTAGAATTGAGAGCAGCAGCAGCAAAGATGACCACTTGGGTCCAGCACTAGCCCTTGTTTTGAGGTACTTTATTTCTTGACCCCTTGATTTGCTAGAGGCCATACTGAAAATAAGACTGCTCTAGGCTTCAGGAAAACACTGTATTATAGAATGAGACGCTGTCTTTCATTCAATAGACCCCTGAACCTCTTACGTTAAACATAGACTTAAGTCACTTGGCATCTTGAGACTCATTAGAATGCATCCTAGGATCCTATCTTGCCCTGAACTGAAGTTATACATAGTCATTTGAAGGTTATCTCCAACTTTTGAGCTCTATTTTTTAATTCCTATCATTTGATATCAACTGCAAGTTTAATAGACATATTTCTATCCCAGTTTGCATATATTTGATTAAAATATAGCACAGATATAATCCTATCCTTCCACAGGGTAAACTAGGAAGTAACGGAGGCATAACAAAATTTTAAGGCCTGCTAGTAAATGGCAGCAATTTTAATGTGTGGGGACCTTCTGCCTCTCTTTTAAGATTAGCTGTTTGGTTTTGAATCTCATAAATGTACAATGTTGTTGTGTGGCCTTTATCAAGTGATCAATAATTTTTTTTTATTGAAAGTCCATTATGCATGCATACCTGGCAGGATGAAAAAGTACAAGAAATTTTCATCCTTTCCCCCTGAGAATTTAAAACCAGGCTGGTAAGATGAAAGTGTTCTATAACAAACAACAAGACAAAAATTAAAAAAAACAAAAACAAAAAAGCCAAACCCAAACCCTACAGTCTAATATTTGCTAAGAGAAAGACAGGACATGTGTGAATAATCAGAGAAAGCCATGTGGAGGTGGTGATCCCAAGGGAATAGGTAGTGATGAACAGGAAAGACATTTTGAGGAGAGATAGTACTGGACAAAGGGACAGTAGTGAAATGAGTCTGGAGTTTCAGGGGACAAAGAAAGTGAATGCTTGCTGTGATAAACCATAATGGAAAAGAATATAAAAAAAAGAATGTCTCTATGTGTATAACTGAGTCATTTTGCTGTACAGCAGAGATGGGCACAACATTGTAGATCAACTCTACTTCAATTTAAAAAAATTGAAAAAAAAAAAAGAAAGTGAATGCTTGGGTGCTCAGTTAGGAAGGCACTTGTAAGAAACTGGTAGCAGGACCTTGAAAATCAGACAAAATAGCTTTGATATAATATGGTAGGCATTGAGAAGCATCATAAGATTTTGGAGAGGAAAACAACATGATAAAAGTAGAATCTCAGGAGGCAGACAGCAGAAGCAAGAACTACAGTCCTGCAGCCTTTGGAACGAAAACCACATTCACAGAAAGATAGACAAGATGAAAAGGCAGAGGACTATGTACCAGATGAAGGAACACGATAAAACTCCAGGAAAACAACTAAATGAAGTGGAGATAGGAAACCTTCCAGAAAAAGAATTCAGAATAATGATAGTGAAGATGATCCAGGACCTCGGAAAAAGAATGGAGGCAAAGATCGAGAAGATGCAAGAAATGTTTAACAAAGACTTAGAAGAATTAAAGAGCAAACACCTGAAAGTAGAATCTGGAGAAATTTTGATGGACCATATGGTGGACTGAGACAGGGAACATCATGATTTGTAGAACATTATTTTAGTAACACAGACAAATCAGAGGGATGGTGGAGACAAAGGAGAGGAAGAAAGGAATCTGAGGGTGGTATTTAAAAAAGTGTTAATGACATTAGATATTGGAGATAAAGGTGAGAAAGGAAACATCCATCAGTTTATGACAGACTGGTAGTCTGGGTGAATAGGGGTATAAGTGGTAAAGATGCCTTTAGTGAAAAGAGAAATAGAGTTGAGATAATGGAAGAAACATTCAGATCAAGGCATTTGATAAATTAGAAATTTAGTTCTATTGCACAGGTGTGATATCAGGACAAGAGATTAATATTTGAGTCAAATAATTTTTAAAAACTGACAACTGTAGACATGAAAATGTATGAGGGAGGCAGAACAGTGTTTGGCCAAGGGCAGAGTTCTGAAGGACACCCACACTTAGGACACCTGGAAAGGAGCCAACAGAAGAATGACAGAACAAAGGTCAGAGAAGTTGAAGGGGAACCAGGAAATGCCATGTCATGTAGGCCTAGGGAGAAGTTTCCAAGAAGACTCTTAATCTCCAAATGTCTCCTTCTACCCACAAAATGGAGAGATGAAGGGTCACCTCCATGCCACTTTAGTGCTATGGACTTTGAACAATTAAAGTTGACCACATTTTTTGAGATATCTCAATAAAAGACATAATGAAGAAGAATTTATAATAACGAAGTAGAATCTTCCCATCCTTGCCTCAGAAAGACTTGGCAGTTGAGGTATGGCTTTTATTTTTGCTGCAGACCAAGTATCAGATTACCAGCATGCCTATTAATACTGTTGTCAGCACCATGAACTTCTACAGTTATTGGACACTGGGCCCCAAACAAGCTGTTGTCCACAAACATACCACTGGGTATGTTCATAGATTTTGAGCTAAGTGTTTGGTTTCAGAGGCTCTCTGTCCCTCTCTGTGTCCTTAACCCTACTTACCATGTTTTCCTTATTATCTAAGTAGAGACAAATGACTTTGCAAACACTGAGAGTCTTTAAGCTGATCCAGAGTACCGAATTCTAACTAGACAGAATTCTGAACAGAGGTTCTTCAGAAATTAGGACTTCTAGATCTGATCTCTCAGAAAGTTCTTGACAGCATGTCATACTTAGTAAGCATTTCTCCTGGCAGAATGTTGCTTTCTCCTTAAGGACTTAGCTAGTCATGGAAAATACAGGTTGCCCTATGCCTAGAATAAGTCTTCACTTATTTAAAAGAAAATAAGCCATGGAATTAATACAAATACATTTTAAAATCTGTCTTTTATATCCCAATCGACTTAGTATTTGTGAAAGCGTTTATATAGGCACTAGGTAGATATTTTTAGAATAAGATATAGTTAGACTTGGTTAAAGTATGATGAAGATGATTGTGACCTTGGAACTATCCTACCTATTTACTTTATAAATAAGGATACTGCCACATGGAAGAAGAAATCATCTGTAGAAGTCTCACAGCTGAGTAGTGGAAGAGCTGGGAGGATAATTCTCCTCTTCAGATCTCCCCCGATGGCCTCAGTTTGTAAAACACACATTCAGAAATCAGTCATCAAACCCTCGCTCCAGTCAGGTACTAGACAGGGAACAGGCTTCCCAAATGAGGGGTTGCCATCCCAGAGCTCACAATCCAAGGTGGGACTGACATGTAAACAACCAGTTACAGTGTCATCCGATAATTCCTTTAAAGGAGGTAAGGGCCAAGTTGAGTGAGATCCCAGGAGAAGGTCATCAAGACAAAAAAGGCTCAGGAGGTGAAATCGTGCCTGTCCTGAGACATGAAGAATGAGTAGCAGTTTGCAAGCAGATGGGGAGAGGGTGGAGTTGGAGCTTCCAGGGAAAGGGAACAGCATGTCTGAGGTTCAGAGGCATAAAAGGACCTTGTGTGTCTGGGGATCTGTGAATGTTCTGCATTGTTAGAGGCAGGGGTCAAGACTGGTGGAAGAAAAAGCCAGAGAAGTCAGTAGTGAAGAAAAAAGGGAGAACAGGAGCCAGGGGGATGCATAGTTAATGGGCACAGTGCTTATTTTAAGGTTCAAGAGGCCTTTTGTAGGCTGAAGGAAAGAAGCTAATGAAGGGGGGGCTGTTGAATCTGTAAGAAAGAAGAGGGGTGGCTTCTAGAGCTGGGTACCCAGGGCTACTGGAGTGAACAGCACCCCATGTGCAGGACTCATGCCCTGCAAGGGATGCTTCCTCTGAGCCATGCAGGGGCTGGGAGAGGCAGGGATGAGGATAGATAAAGATAAGTGTGTAGCCTGTCTTTATGAAGGAGGAAGCTGAGAGGAAAATGGAGCGGATTGGACAGTGTTGGGGTTTCAGACGAGTCACTGGGAGTAGAGACTGACCAGAGACACAAAATGGCATGTTCAAGCTTCAGTAAAGGTGAAGTAGCAATTGGATACCATAAATGCAGAGTTTTGGGCACAGAGCACCAAGCAAGTAGCTGTTCACAGAACATACCATTGGGTAGACACATAGATTTCAACTAGAGGCTTGGGTTCCAGAGGTTCCCTCTCCCACCTCTGCACCTTCTTCCAGTGTTCCTTTTAACCCTGTTTATGGTGCTGTCATTACCTAATCCATAGAGTTGTGTGATTTTCCTCAGCAGCACTCAGCATCCTGGATATAAGAACAGCTGAAGTGTGTGCTTGACTTTTCCAGAGCTGGGAGTTTGTGAGCAGGTGTGATGTAAAGACAAGGAGATGGGAGTTGAGGGTGCTACTTAAGAGAATATCTTTAGTTGTAAATCATGGTGTGGAGACGAATGGAAGGGGATGGATGTAAGGCCAATAGTCTTGGAGAAGGAAGACTCAAAGGAATTGAAATCACTAGTAAAGCTGAGAGAAAGGGCCTGTAACATTTAAAAGGATAAATTACAGTACTCTAAAATGTAAGACTTCAAATAAAGTGGAAGACATAGCCTTTTCTAAAAAATGTCAACAAATGGAATGTGGGAAGTAGATTAATTTGCTATAGCTCTTGAGCATCCCTGTCTTTTATTTTGTCAGATTGCCTACAAAAAAGGTCATGCTGAACAGCAAACTCAATTCACATCTCTGCCGGATCCTCCAGATATAGAATTTGCCAAGAAAGTGACCAATCAAGTGAGCAAGGTAAGTAAATGGGGCTGGGACACTGTTTCCCTTGAAAACTCTGCTGAATAATCTCAGCCATCAGAGAAAGTAACTAAGGTAAACCTAAAAACGCAACACAAACACTAAGAGTATTTGTGTATATGACCGGAAAACTCTACAGCTAAAGAAACACATCCATTAACACTGTGGAACCATGTTAATAAATACTCAGCCAGCTTGATGACTCAGTGATTGATACATGGGAAAGTGTTTTGAGAACAGAACCCATGTCCTGATGTCCTTTGACATTTTGACTTATGAGAGGGATACTAACAGAGTAACCAAGTAACTGCAAATTTCCACAAAGGATCTGATTGTTTTAATTCAGTGCAGACCCTGTATAGTTTTATGCTCAGAGTCAGACTTGGAGAAAATAAGAGTGCATGAGTGGTCTCTCAGATGTAGTTTGGTTAGACAGCCCTGGGAAGTGCACCTCATAATTTTTAAGGCCCTGGCAAACAGCTTACTCTGTCTGTATTTAGTCTGGTAAACTAGCTCTGAGGAATGCAGCCCTGACAGGGAATGCAGAGAAACAGATATTCAACTGATGAATAGATCCATGCTAAATTCCCATTTTATTTGTTTTGTTTTTGTTTTTTGTTTTTTGCGGTACATGGGCCTCTCACTGCTGTGGCCCCTTCTGTTGCGGAGCACAGGCTCCGGACGCACAGGCTCAGCGGCCATGGCCCACGAGCCCAGCCGCTCCGCGTCATGTGGGATTCTCCTGGACCGGGGCACGAACCCGTGTCCCCTGCATCGGCAGGCGGACTCTCAACCACTGTGCCACCAGGGAAGCCCCTAAATTCCCATTTTAATTTGGCCCAAATCAGGCCACTTTCTTCTGGGATACTGCTGCTTTTAAATACTTTCCTTTGCCCTCTGTGGAGTTGACTGTCAGTTTGGTCTTCTGCTTGAATTGTGATGGGACCTCATGATTTCTATCTTGTTTAAGTATTTTGGGGGAAATTATGTCTCCAGTAAAGGAGAAGGAAGAAGATTACAGATGATGAAGTCTATTCAGCAATATTTTTTAGTGTCTGACATTGCAGATTACCTACTGGTGTAACCAAGGGCTAGTTGGATAAAAGATCTAAGTACAGTAAATTTTCACTGATAGGAATACCGTGAACCTGAAATTTTGCCCAGGCAGGGCTAAACAGATATTAACTTCAGAACTAACTATTCACAAAGAGATGGCCTCCTGAAAGTGTTGCTACTGTAAATAAGATTGGAGAGAAGGACAATTAGAGAGAAGGATGGTTATTTATTTATTTTTGGGGGGGAGAAAAATAAAAAATGGCTTTCAAGTAGTCATTTAGAAAGAAAAATGAATCTATTTTTAATATTTGCAACATTCTTTTACCTCATTTGAGTATGCGGGGTGGGTACTTGAAAGTGATTTAAAAAAAAATCTATTTCAAACTCCTCTATAATCAGTCTCTCCACTAATTTAGGCTTGCCAGTTAGTCTAGAGCTGCACTCTTTTTTTTTTTTTAACATCTTTATTGGAGTATAATTGCTTTACAATGGTGTGTTAGTTTCTGCTTTATAACAAAGTGAATCAGCTATATGTATACATAAATCCCCATATCCCCTCTGTCTTGCGTCTCCCTCCCACCCTCCCTATCCCACCCCTCTAGGTGGTCACAAAACGCCGAGCTGATCTCCCTGTGCTATGCGGCTGCTTCCCACTAGCTATCTATTTTATGTTTGGTAGTGTATATATGTCCATGCAACTCTCTAACTTTGTCCCAGCTTACCCTTCCCCTCCCCGTATCCTCAAGTGCATTCTCTAGTAGGTCTGCATCTTTATTCCCGTCTTGCCCCTAGGTTCTTACAATTTTCATTTTTTTCTTTTTCTTTTTTTTTAGATTTTCTATATGTGTGTTAGCATACGGTATTTGTTTTTCTCTTTCTGACTTATTTCACTCTGTATGACAGTCTCTAGGTCCATCCACCTCACTACAAATAACTTAGTTTCTTTCCTTTTTATGGCTGAGTAATATTCCATTGTATATACGTGCCACATCTTCTTTATCCATTCATCTGTCAATGGACACTTAGGTTGTAGAGCTGCACTTTCAGTAGAGTAGCCACCAGACACATGTGACTATTGAGCACGTGAAATGTGAGGGTATGAATTGAGTCCTATATGTGTGAAATATACACTGGATCTTGGATCTTGGACACTTGGTATGACAAAAGGTAAAATAGCTCATTATTTTATATTATGTTGAAATGACAATATTTGGCATCTATTGGCTTAAGTAAAATATATTACTAAAATTAATTTCCCACCTGTTCCTTTTTTACATTTTAAAGTATGGCTACTAGAAAACTTAACATTACAGTGGTGGCTTGGATTATATGCCTATTGGGTTGCAGCAGTCTGCTGGATGCAGAGACAGCATTGGGTACTTTGAAAGCATTGCTACAACTAGGTTTGCTTTGTGGAATAACAATACGATCCAAGGGGAGGAGGGCTGCGGATGAAGGTCATTAGATTCAGCCATGGTGATAGTTATTCATCCCAGTCTCATCCAGATTTCCAACTTCTAAATGGCTGTTGTGCATCCAAAATAATAATCAAATAATAATAGTCCCAAAATAATAGTCCCAAAAATAATTGGGAAGAAGTGCTTGTGATGGGTAGCAGTCCATCCAACAACAAACCATCCAGTAAGAGAGGTGTAGGGCTGCCAGGGGTGACTTAGATATGGGACTTGCTGCCTTTCTTTTGAAGTTTTCCTCACTCTTAAGTTGCTTTGACCCATGTTTCAGTATCATTTCCTTTCTCTCCAAAAACGTAAAATCTCCTTATCTACTCCCTTTCGTGCTTTAATTTCGTAGCATTTCCTTGTCAGATTATGTCTCCTAGATCCATCCCTTTGTCTTACAGCCTCCAGTTCAGATTTTAACATAAGGAACACATATCTGTAATGATTATATTGCCGTTACATTCTGTTTACCATCCTTCCTTACTGTACCTTTCAGAATCAAGTCTCTCACCCTTGTCTTTGGCCAAAGCCATCAAGTGCATGCCAGCACCTCCTCCTGGCTCAGCGCGTTTTGTAGAGATGGGTAGGCAGGCAGGGCTGTTCGTGTACACTGTGCCTACTACAACCAGCTGGGGTTGTTACAGGGGGTTCTGTAAGAAACACTGGGAAGTCCCTTTAGCTTCTCTGTTCCTGCTTCTCTGCTTTCTTACAGACTCGTGATAGGAAAGATATAAGATTTCAGGTTGGAATTTCCAGTTGACACTAGGTCTGGACCTGAAAGGAGAAACTGGGATCTAGAATGTTAACCTTTTGAGAAGAAAGGATATAGGGTGTTAGAGAGAGGGCTGGGCTTCCTATGACTCAAATTCTCTGGCTTTGCATATCACCCACCCTTGGTACTTGTTCTTTAAAGGTGTAACAGAAAATGACTTTCTTTTTCTTTGGAGAGTATGGTGGGGGTATAGGCAGGCAAACACTTTGAGACCCCCTGGTAATGTCTGTGGACACATTCTATTGAGCAAAGGAGGGGAAATTGCTCTAACCCAGCTCTGGCTCGGGCTCATGTCCCAAATTTGGGGTTAATTCGATTCCAAGAATATTCAAGCCAAGGTGGTCAATATATCATGGACTAGGTTAAATTTAACATAGTTGAACATACATTTATGTGGTAACTTCTGCATACTGCATTTTGTGTTAGATCCGGAGGATTCAGAAATAAAAAGATATAATTCCTCTTTCCAAGGAGCTCACAGCCTAAGATTCAGGTGGTGTGGTGTTTGTGAGTTAATATGGGACAGCAGTTCAATTTTTTAATTACTTGTCAGTTCTCATTAAAATTTCTTTAAGTCTAAACCAGGAAGTCTTATTCATTGGCCTACATGCCAAATTTTGTTGTGGTGTTGCTTTCTGGATAACTAGGAGTTTTGGTAAAGTTCAGAAATTAATGGCAAAGTTCATCAGGCATGAAAATCTGGGGTTGAGTGGTTTTATTATAACTATGAATTATAGAAGGAAGATGCATCCGACTCTCTCTTCCCTCAAACATCAGGGACCATCTGTGAGTTCTCAATGAACTAAGTCTCTAAACTCAGCAAAGCGGGGATTGATACCTCCATCCCCTGCACCCAACCTTCTTTTGGGTAAATTGACACTATACTGGGAGATTTGAAGACATCTGTTAAGTACCCAGGAAGGGCCTGGTCAAGATATTTTTAAAAGCCAACCACTACCACTTAATTAGCTGCCTTATTTGGCAATTCCCAGATTTTGCTTGTCTTAGTTTCTTTCTTTCTTGTTTTTTTATCCTAGCAAAAATACAAGGAAGACTATGAAAATAAAATCAAAGGCAAATGGAGTGAGACACCTTGCTTTGAAGTTGCAACCGCCAGAATGAATACTAATAACATCAGCATGGTAAGTAGGAATGGATTGCCAGATGTCCTTGGGTTGAGAGGGTGACCCTTTCCTGTATGACTTCTAGCCACCTGCTGCTCCTGCAATGGTAGTGGAACATTTGAATCTGGGCACCTCTTCTTGGGGGTAAGACCTGTGTAGTGTTCCTATTTAGAAAGAAATTCCATAATCTTTCCTTCCTTTTGAGAAATGCTGTTTTTATTGGATTCCATTATTCTTGCCTCGGTTTTCATAGGAACAATGTGGTTTCAAAGTGAGTACAGGTGAAAGGGGCCCTTTTAAGTTTATTCTGTGTCTGGGCACTCGCACGGTACATTTATGAAACTGATTAGTTTCTTCCTAGATTCTCCTCCCTGGAAAACATAAGTCCTCTTTTTCTCTTCGCTTAAGTTCTCTGCCTCTGGCCTTTGAGAGCTCCTTATTTGAAGTTGGCTTTCAGCCTATTATAATTTTCCCAAGTCTCTGTTAAGTTGCTAATGGTTTTTGTGATGGCACCACATTCTATAATTGTAATCTGACCTGCAGAAGCTAAGAGGAGCATGGCTTTGGGTAACATCTCCAAATGGCCTCTGTCCTCGCGTACAAAATATTTATGTAGTTTGTTCCCTCAGCAGTTCTCCAGCATGTTTAATGTCTTACAGAGGAAATACCAGGAAGACTTTGAGAATATGAAAGACCAGATCTACTTCATGCAGACTGAAACACCAGAGTACAAAGTGAATAAACAAGCTGGGGTGGCAACTAGCAAGGTATGGGGACATTCTCTCTTTTATCTTGATGGTCTCAGTGTGGGTGAATTTCTTACAACTCTTACTTTTGTATATAATGGGAAAAAAAGGTTCTTAGGGGAACAATAAGAAAAATACTTTGGGATTACAATAGGGCTACCAAATTTTTTTTTTTTTAAATTGCCATGTAGGAGAATTCACAATACTCAATTACCATCTTCAGCATTTCTTAGACTAAAGGACGTTCTGATACCCAGAAGTAGAAAGGACAAAAGAATTTCTCAAGAAAAAGCAACTGGCAGCCTTATATGCATATAGACACTTCACACTTACAACTACCATCATTTTTCTATTTTCCTACTAACTGGTGAAAATATAGTCACAGACAAGATACTTGAATCCATGGATCTGCTCTTATACTCTATAGAGTGACTTTGGTAAATAGTCTACTCCTAGGCATTCTAAAGCACCAGAAAGAACAATAAGTTCAAAGCCAATCAGACTTGATTCTAACCCTGGTGCTGGCTCTGCTGGAGCAGTGAAAGCAGAAAAATCACATCACTTAGGAGGCTATTTCAGTATCCAGGTGCAAGACAGTGATATTTTGGACCAGGAGGGTAGCACAGAAAGTGATGAGAAGTATTTTGAAAGTAAAGCTGACCTGATTTGCTGATGGCTTGGATGTGGGTTATGAGAGAAAAGTTTTGGTCTAAGCAACTAGGTGGATGGGGTTTCCCTTTGTCAAGATACGGAAGATGGTGGAAGGAGTAGGTAATTTCTTTTTAGAGGGGAGACCTGAGCTCTTCAGATATGTAAAATTTGAGATGCCTTTGAGACACCTAAGAGGAAATGTCAAGTGGGCATTTGATTACATGAGTCTGAAGTTGCAGGAGAGATATCTGGGAAGGCTGTATAAATTTGGGCGTCAGTAGCATATGGACTGTATTTAATGTCATAAGACTGGAGGCCATCAAGGGAGGAAGTGTAGACAGAAAACTCTAAGGACTGAACTCTGGAGTGCTTCCATGTGAAGACATCAGTGAGATGGGATTGGAGCAAAATTAGGAGAAAGTGATGTCTTGGGAAGCAGGTGAAGAAGGAAGGGAGTGAGCAACTGTGTCAAATGTTTCTGAAGTGGATTTATCAATGTATGGTCTCTGGTGAACTTAATAAGAGAAATTTGGTTGAATCTGCTTAGAGAGGGTTCGTGAGTGAATGAAAGAGAAATAGAATTTGAGTGTACTCCACTCTTCCAAAGTATTTTCCTGAAAAGAAAAGAAGAAAAAGGGGTAGTAGCTGATGGATAAGTAGGTGAAGAGGGGATTTTTTTAGGTAGGAGACAAAAATACCATGTTTCTATGCTGATAGAAAAAAAATCCTGTGTAGTGGGAAAATGTGATGATGTTGAGGGCCGGGGGAAGAAAGTGGCTGGAGTGTTGTCCTAGAATAGGGGAAAGGGGAAGGGACCTGGCACTTAAGAGGAGGGGATGGCTTCCCCAGAAACAGGAGAGGAGGTTGCGAATCCAAGATGCAGATAGGCGGATAGTAGGGTTTGTGAAATTTCCTTTCTGGTTGTTTCCACTGTTCAAGGAAATAGATAATTCTATAAGATAGAGAGGTTATCTATATCCTCTACTCCTGTAGAACACCCCCTGCGAGTCCCCTGTTTGGGCTCTAGGGGGTGGTGCATCTGTGTTTCAGAGTGTATCTCCTGCCTTTGGATACCAAGATGATTGTATTTGTTTCTGAGGTTCTTAAATGTTGGCAGATTATCTAGGATTCCCTCAACTTGTCTATATTCTCACATTACATTGCTTGAACAAATGGCTGGCACTGGAGATCATGGTCAAGATTAAGACCAGTTTCTTGTTTTCTTTCCTTTGGACATGCGCCTGAAGGGGGCTTTTGTGCCCTCGCTTAAAGCTTCTGTCATAGCTGGAATTGGTGCAAAGCAGGGGGGTGCAGAAGGAGAAGATGAGGTTGCCAGCATTCATCTAGCCCCAGCCCCTTCCTCTTCCTCCCGCGTGTACATTAAATACACATGTGCTCACACACATAGTCACGGATGAGGCATGAAGCTTCTAGCTTTTTTCTTTAAAAATGTGTTGGCACATAGGCAGGTGGAAGTTAAGAGATGAATGAGGGTTCTGGAGCAGCAGGTATCTGGGGCATGATGTACTGTCGTTTTTATGATGTGCATCTTTCTTTTATTATTTCTCTCCCCCTGCCCCCCGCCTTCCCTCCCTGTCTCTCTGAGGTCAGGGACCATGTGTTACTCTTTCTTTTATCTGTCCCAGGGCCAGGAGCGTAATCAATGCCCTATGGATATTTTTGAATGAATAAATGAATGAGAAGAAAAGATATCCTGAAAATGTATGCAGTTTCCCTGCTGCTGTCATAAGTTACTATGAATATTTTGTTTATGAAATGTCAAGCTGCCATTTTTCTAAAGAGAAAATCGATTTGTGGAGCTATGTCATAATATCTGTAATAGAGACGAGAGCAAAAATAACCTGGAGAGTTACTTTATCACTTTATTTCACTCCTACAGGTAAAATACAAAGAAGACTATGAAAAGAATAAAGGAAAAGCAGATTATAATGTACTTCCTGCTTCAGAAAACCCACTGCTTAGGCAGCTGAAGGCTGCAGGAGTTGCCCTAAGCGATGTAAGTATATTCTTGTCAAAAGTGTGTTTTTAACCTTAGCAAGAGAGATGAAACTTCTCTCCTTCTATAATGAATAAATGCAAATAGAACTTTACAAATACTTTAAGGTTATGGTGTAACAGTTTCCCTGGAGCTGTCTAACCACAGGAAGGCATTAGTGCCTCTGAGTATGATGTGTGTCAATTTGGGGAGCCTGTGGACTTAGTTCAGCGGGCAGGGAAATCCTCATTTGCTTATAAGATCCAGGAGCCTATGCCTTTGTGTGGGCAAAGAGTACATTGTAGGAGTTACGTTGTGATTCTGACAGAGGCAGAAGGAGACTTTGAAAGGAGAGGAGAGAAAGATGAAGCCACTTAGTGCCCTACCCTTTTGCTCTTCAAGCCTGCTGCTAGGAGAAGAAGGAAGAGGTCCTGTGTTTCACAACTTCTCTCCCCAAACTCTGCCATTTTCTACTCAGGTCTTGGCCCCAGAAACCATCATCTGCAGATAGCAGAACTTAAAAGATGGCTCCCTAAGTCTTCAGAGCAATTTCTACTTGTGGAATATTAAGAGCTTGTCTAATCCATTAGGTTTCAAATAGATTAGATAAGTGAGAACTGGGCCTGTCATTAAAAGACTAACAGCCCAAGACCACTTCGATTATATATCAATATATAAAGAGACTGAACATAAGATCAGTTGAGTTTTTCCCTTTCGGTTAGGCAGTATTAAGTTTTCCAGTATTTGAGGATTATATGTAGCTCTCTGTGTGAGTTAGTTGTCTTTTCTTTGTGCCTTGAATTAAGTCAGCACCACAGAAATGTGTACATGTGACTGAGGAGTGGGACGAGTGGAGTGGCAGGTGAGAGGATGTAAATGGATCTGTTCAAATAGCTCTACTGGGAAATCAATGCAAAGCACATCGCCTGCTTCCTAAATGAAGGTCATCTTTATCAAATGTATAAAAACTGAAGTTCAAATCCATTTTGTTGAAAAAGACAGCAATATAAAAATATTGAAAATGAATAGCACTATTTACAATTTCAAAACCAAACATGGAAAAATCATGTTGTGCCCTGTAAAATCCAGTAACTTTTAGAGCTAAAGATAAATCCTAGCAGAGAAGAGGAGTTAGTAGACTCTTGTATATACCTTATTTTTAAGGTGTCCTGTCTGCTCGTATGATAAGGGATTTTTTTCCTTGGTGGAAAGAGGAAGAGTGCGTATTTCTCTGTGTGCTAGACTTTTTCCATGAAGGTTTGTTTTAAAAAAATGAAAAATTTGCTGTTGCTCAGAGTATTCCTGTTTACTGGGGCATCACTAGTGAGGGAAGAGTATTGAGTTGGGAGGTCTAAAAGGCTGCAATTCAGATACGCAAGAACCTCTACAACTAAGGTCTTGGTCTGAGGCAGTATAGTGGTTTCTTAATTTTTTGGAGAATATTAAAAACTTAGGCTTTACAATAATTGCTAATAGAAAAGGTTTATCATTTATGACACTCCAATGTTTGATTGTCAGTTTTTAGACAGTTGACAGGTAATATATTTTTTCTTCTTCCTTTGTTTAGTGTTGGAAAATACAAGTGTAATAATCAGGGTGGGAGTGACAGGAATCTACTGTAACTGATTTTTTTTTCTTTGACAGAAACTGTACAAGGAAAACTATGAAAAGACAAAGGCAAAGAGCATAAATTACTGTGAGACCCCCAAATTTAAGCTTGATACAGTTCTGCAGAACTTCAGTAGTGATGTAAGCCACCCCATGGTCATTTCCTCTGTTAAATCGAAGACCCATCACTTTGCCAATAAACAAATGAAATATGTTTTGTCTTTCAGACTAAATATAAAGATTCCTACTTAAAGAATATTTTGGGACATTATGTAGGCAGCTTTGAGGATCCATATCATACACACTGCATGAAAGTCTCAGCTCAGAACAGTGATGTAAGTTCTAAGGCAATTGTTTGACTTCCCAAATAACACATTTTTAGGGCATGAATACACTGGTTGCATCCTTATGTCTGATTTCTTTTCCTCATAGAAAAACTACAAAGCAGAATATGAAGAGGACAGAGGCAAAGGCTTCTTCCCCCAGACCATAACTCAAGAATATGTAGCAATGAAGAAACTAGATAAGTGTAAAGATGTAAGTCTGTAGTATAAACTGTGAATGTTACCACCCTCCACAGTACCTAGTGATCAAGATGTGTTTAATATTTTGACACTTTTGCAAACAAATGCAAGCAAGGAGTCTGTAAGAAACACAATTTATTTTTCCCTGTTGTCACCCACATGTCTCAAGCGCTAATTCTAGCTCATTTTCCCAAAGAAAAGTAATCAGGAATCTGTAGATATGGGAAAGTTTCCTATATAGATGTAAGAGCATCTCTCAAAGAAACTGCAGTCTAATTAGAAAAAATGCGTTTTGCTTACTGAAAGTTTCTTTTCTTTGGGGGGATGGGGTTCTGCTTGCTTGGCCTATAGGCCAACTCGGATTTGACAAGTGATACTACTAAACGTGATTCTCTTTCCCCCACAGTACACCTACAAAGTCCACCCAGATAAGACAAAATTCACTCAGGTCACCGACTCTCCTGTTCTGGTGCAAGCCCAAGTCAATTCCAAGCAGCTGAGTGATGTAAGTTCCCCTAAATATCCAAGAAATCCAGTTATGAGGGAGAGCATATCATAACTCTATACGTGACATCCAGTGACTTGTCACATTTATAAAAAAGGCTACGTAACTTTTAACAAGTTTAACTTGTATATATTTGTAATCACCTAAAATACTTTCCTATTTAGTTACCTTACATCTTCTTGGGTGGATAACAATTATAGTAAAAGAGCTCTGCAAGGGAAACTAACGTAGCTTAATGCACTGGAAAGAACATGAGTTTCCGAGTCAGACAGAACTGGATTCAAATTCCAGCTCTGTCATTTATGACCTGGGGCCTAGGAAAGTTGTTTAACCTCTCCATACCTCATAGTTCCCTTTGATAATTTGTGGTGGTTTTGAAGATTGTGAAAGAAGATACACGCATAGTACACATCCTGGCCCAGAGCGGGTATTCAGTACATGGGATTTCTCTGTCTCTCAAATAAGTTTTTAGGAAATGGAGTCTTTGAGATATATTTTATCATATAAATTTTCAGTGTGAATTTCCAAACTTGTGTTGAAATAAAAAAATGAAAAATAAAAGTAACCTCAGTAGATTATGGCCAGAAATGAAGGCTTCAGTTAGAGTATCCACAAACCATAATGCATGTGAGGGGACATAACCAGATTTGTTAGAAAAGATTTTCCAGTGATTGAGCGTTGACAGCAGAAAGGAAGAAAGGCTGTCACTCTCAGAACCTACAGGACCAATTGTGATATATAAAGAGGGGAGCTCCCACGTATGGAAGTGCCACCTCTTTCCATTAGGGCCCTACCATGGTGACAGATATGATAACAGCTGTCAACTATCCTCCACGCAGTGTCAGTAAGGCAGAGTGGCCCACCCTAGATCTGGATTTCTCTTTTTCTTTTTTTTTTTTTAACATCTTTATTGGGGTATAATTGCTTTACAATGGTGTGTTAGTTTCTGCTTTATAACAAAGTGAATCAGTTATACATATACATATGTTCCCATATCTCTTCCCTCTTGCGTCTCCCTCCCACCCTCCCTATCCCACCCCTCCAGGTGGATTTCTCTTTTGATCGTAACGACTCTGTCAGTTGTTATTTAACAAAATGTATTTTACATTTTATCTCATGAAATGTACCACCCAATATTTTTTTTTCTTTTGTATTTTGGAACAATCTTCTTCTGAATTGAGAACTAAATGGCTCATTTTCTCTCTCTCTCTTGCTATCAGCTAAATTACAAAGCAAAACATGAAAACGAAAAGTTCAAGTGCCATATACCTCCAGATACTCCTGCCTTTATCCAGCACAAAGTCAATGCCTATAACCTGAGTGATGTGAGTTCCTCGTGCACTATGCCATGTGTTATACTGACAACTATGCTTTTATTTTTGAATTTCCTCATTGAATAAATATTTCAATGTTAAAGATGGGAATAACAGTTAACATTTGTATTGTGTCCCTATGCCTCTGCCAGGGTAACTTTAAACTCACCTTATAAAATGTGTGTAGCAATCTTATAAGTAGCTTCATACAATGAGACAATCTTAATATATTTTAACCAACCCTCAAAATACCACCGTTCATGTATGTTTAATTGCAAATCTTGATGTAAGCTCTTTTAGCCATATATCCTTTTATACTATACTATAATTTTCTTTCAGGACCTCATATTTTAAGATACAGTTTCATTTTGTTTACTCCCCAGGCATATAAAGTCCCTTATTTCACACAAATGATACTTATTTCTACATGTAAGAGAACTTGCACTAACAAAGATATAGGGTATTCAAAAGGCATAAGGCCAGGTATCCATTGCTATCTTTCATTTCCAAACTTAATTTTATAGAAAAGTCAAATTACCCTTGAGGGTTTCAATTTCTTCAACAATTCTTTAAATAAGTACTAAAATTATCCAGCATCAATGAGTATTGCAATGATTCGTGAAATAACCTTTTCAGAGGACTTTGAGATCAAATGAAAATGTTGCCTTTATATAATACAAAGTAAGTTAACTATAGAATATTTGTGCCACTCTATAAAATATTCAGTGTTAGGAATCAAATATTAGTATGATAACTAGAATGAAGTTAATATAATACAATATTCTCATGGAGAGTAGAGAAACTTAATCTTAGAGAATTGGAAGATTCATCTTGAGGAGAATTATCTAAAATATGCACAATTTCTTAAACAAAGAAAATGGTCTTTTTATATTAAGACAAGGTATTGGGTTACCCTCTAGTCTTTAAAGTGTGATAACATGCATATTACTTTTGCCCATTCCTCTGCTGAAATTTTCTGTCCAGAATGCTTATAAGTATGACTGGGAGAAGACCAAAGCTAAGAAGTTTGACATTAAGGTGGATGCCATTCCCCTGCTGGCAGCCAAAGCCAATACCAGGAACTCTAGCGATGTGAGTATGGCCTGGGCACCTGGACAGGGGGGGCCTCAGCGATCTTCCTGATGAGTGAGATCTGGCACGTGTGATGTCTTTGCAGGTGATGTACAAGAAAGACTATGAGAAAAGCAAAGGAAAGATGATTGGAGCCCTCAGCATTAACGATGATCCCAAGATGCTGCACTCTTTGAAGACGGCCAAAAACCAGAGTGATGTGAGTGCTTTTGTGAATCTGTCTTGTTTTCAAGATTGTGTCCCAGTCAACATGCCCAAGGGTAATGGTGTAAAAAGATTCCATATCCATGGGCTCTCTCAGGTTCACAACAATGAACTGCTGAGGACAACTTTAGAAGTACAATGATTCCCCAGACTCTTGCACCTCTCATGTTTGAGGAGAGAAATTAATGATTTGTACTTGATCTTCATTTCACTTTGAAAAAACCTGTATTCATATTTAGTAGAATATTGATTGTAATTCTCAACACCTTTTGGAAAACATTAAGATGTTTTCATATTTTCTAATTGAAAAGTAACTTAAAATTGTGGTTTAAAAAGTGACTTTATTTTGGAAGAAAATCATGAGTCAGAGATAAAAATCTTAGTATAGCTAACATTGCTCTTTACTGACTTTAGTAATTAGTATTGGCCTAGGTCTAAGATTCCATTAATTATAGGCCCCGTTGAGAATCTGATAAAAGATCTGGTCCATCTCTTTAGGGAAATGGAGTTTTTTTCACATCTTTTGCCTGACTTTCATAGAGAATTCATGGATTCCCTAAGGATTGCCTTTAGGATATCTATCATCTTCCAGTTAAAATTCTTACCGTAGAGAGGCAAACATACACTATTGAAAATTGCAATATACACTGTGTTTTAAAATGTTTGGAGAATCCCTTAAAAGTGGTAAGAATGTTCAACATAGCTTGCAAATATTAGCTTTTCATGGTGAAAGAGAAGGGTGTTTGTATCATTTAGTTTCATTTTAACCATGTGTTCATATTGTGAGCTATTAAACCTTCTTTAAATCATTTCACATTTACTATATAGTCATATAGCACTTTAAACATCTTATTCAGTTATTTTCTCTAGTAAATTCACACTGAATTAGATACAGTGTGATTATATACAGTCAGTATACAGTGCTCACATACATAATACTATCTTCTTCACCAGTTCCTTATTTTGTCTCAACTCAAGAAAGTTATAGCTCCCATTGACAGCACGTGTATGTTTATCTTTGGTTTTTACCCTACCACAGAACCCATTAGAACACTAAGTTATTAAGTGTGTAATAAGTGTTCAATAAGTACTTGTTAATTGATTCATGTTGGCAACCAAAAGAGATAGTCAATGATGAGTCATTCTCAAATAATATTCAGGCTAAAATCTAAGCTGCAGATACAGAGCACACATCGCTTTTAAAGAGTCTTTTAAAGCCATTTGGGACTAAACAACATGCCACTAAAATAACAGTGAGTCAGGCTTCCCTGGTGGCGCAGTGGTTGAGGGTCCGCCTGCCAATGCAGGGGACACGGGTTCATGACCCGGTCCGGGAGGATCCCACATGCCGCGGAGTGGCTAGGCCCGTGAGCCATGGCTGCTGAGCCTGCGCGTCTGGAGCCTATGCTCTGCAATGGGAACAAAAAAAAAAAAAAACAAAAAAAAAAAAAAAAAAAAAAAAAAAAAAAAAAACCAGTGAGTCAATGAAGGAATCAAAGAGGAAATCAGAAAATACCTCAAGACAAATGAAAATGGAAACAACACTCCAAAATCTATGGAATACAGCAAAAGAAGTTTGAAGAGGGAAGTTTATAGTGATATAGGCCTTCCTCAAGAACAAGACAAACCTCAAATAAATAACCCAATCTACCACCTAAAGGAATTGGAAAAAGAAGAACAAACAAAACCCAAAGTCAGCAGAAGGAAGAAAATCATAAAGATAAGAGAGGAAATAAATAAAATGAAAATTTAATAAAACAATAGAAAAGATCAATGAAACCAAGAGCTGTTATTCTGAAAAGAGAACAAAACTGATAAAGCCAAGATCACCAAGAAGAAAAGAGAGGACCCAAATAAATAAAATAAGAAATGAAAGGGACAAATAACAACCAATACCACAGAGATACAAAAATTATAATACTATGAACAGTTATAAGCCAACAAATTGGACAACCTAGAAGAAATGGACAAATTTCTAGAAACATACAACTTGCCAAAACTGAATCAAGAAGAAACAGATATTTGAACAGACCAATTGCTAGTAGTGAAATTGAATTTGCATTTAAAAAAAAATGCAAGCAAACAAAAATCTAGGACCAGACGGCTTCACAGGTGAAATCTACCAAACATATAAAAAAGAACTAATACCTGTCCTTCTCAAACTATTCCAAAAAATTGAAGGAGATGGAACACTCCCAAGTTCATTCTGTGAGGCCACGATTACCCTAATATCAAAACCAGAAGAAGATACTAGAAAAAAATTACAGACCAATATCTTTAAGTATAGATGCAAAACTCCTCAACAAAATATTAGCAAACTGAATCCAACAGTATATAAAAAGGATCATATACCATAATTGAGTTGGATTTATTCCAGGGAGGCAGGATGGTTCAATATTTGCAAATCAATCAATGTGATTCACCACATTAACAAAAGGAAGGATAAAGATCACATGACCATCTCAACAGATGTAGAAAAAACATTTGACAAAATTCAATATCCATTCATGATAAAAACTCATCAAAGTGGGTATAGAGGGAACATATCTCAACAAATAAAAGCCATTTATGACAAACCCACAGCTAACATCACACTCAGTGATGAAAAGCTGAAAACCTTCCCTCTAAATTCAGGAACAAGCAAGGATGCCCACTCTTTCCACGTCTATTTAACATAGTATTGGGAGTCCTGGCCACAGCAATCAGAAAAAATAAATTAATTAAAAAAATAATAAAAAGCATCCATATTGGAAGGGAGGAAGTAAAATTGTCACTATTTGTAGATGACATGGTACTTTATATAGAAAACCCTAAAGTCTGCACCCAAAAACAATCAGAACTAATAAATGAATTTAGTAAAGTTTAAGGATACAAGATTAATATACAGAATTCTGTTGCTTTTCTATACACTAATAATGAACTATCAGAAAGTAAAAAAAAAAAGCCACATTTAAAATTGCATCAAAAAGAATAGGAATAAATTTTTTTTTAATTCAAACAGAAAGTCACAAAAATTATAATCATCCTCATCAGTTCACTCAGTCCCATGTAATTAATTTTTTTTCATCTTGATCTTTTGTTAGCACTTTTATGAATACATCAGTTTTCCATTAGAGTTCTGAAAATGTTTATTCATTCAGTTCAGCAGTGTAGTCAGTTACCAGAAACCTGTACTTGTCAGTCTTTTCCATGAATTCCTTGAAGATGAAATCCTTTTATAGGAACATTTTTGCAAAAGCATCAGAGTACACCCAGAACTGTCTGTAAATGACAAAAGACTTAAAAATGACCATGGTTAAAGATTTGATGAAAGTTCATAATAATGCAATTGACAAGGAAATTTAGTTATTTCTGAGTTATACGTTTTAAAGTAATAACTAGAATTATGACTTATAACATTATACCAGAGGATATAAGATTTTTAGATATTTCATGTAATGTCTGAAACATTTATATTAACATATTTCCATACAAATAACCCAAAGAAAGTTTAGTATTAGTTGTTTTTTGTTTGTTTGTTTGTTTATACTGCAGGTTCTTATTAGTCATCAATTTTATACACATCAGTGTATACATGTCAATCCCAATTGCCCAGTTCAGCACACCACCATCCCCACCCCACCATGGTTTTCCCCCCTTGGTGTCCATACATTTGTTCTCTACATCTGTGTCTCAACTTCTGCCCTGCAAACCGGTTCATCTGTACCATTTTTCTAGGTTCCACATACATGCATTAATACACGATATTTGTTTTTCTCTTTCTGACTTACTTCACTCTGTATGACAGTCTCTAGGTCCATCCACATCTCAACAAATGACTCAATTTTGTTCCTTTTTATGGCTGAGTAATATTTCTTTGTATATATGTACCACATCTTTATCCGTTCGTCTGTCGATGGGCATTTAGTTTGCTTCCATGACCTGGCTATTGTAAATAGTGCTGCAATGAACATTGGGGTGTACGTGTCTTTTTGAATTATGGTTTTCTCTGGGTATATGCCCAGTAGTGAGATTGATGGATCATATGGTAATTCTATTTTTAGTTTTTAAGGAACCTCTATACTGTTCTCCATAGTGGCTGTATCAATTTACATTCCCACCAGCAGTGCAAGAGGGTTCCCTTTTCTCCACACCCTCTCCGGCATTTGTTGTTTGTACATTTTCTGATGATGCCCATTCTAACTGGTGTGAGGTGATACCTCATTGTAGTTTTGATTTGCATTTCTCTAATAATTAGTGATGTTGAGCAGCTTTTCATATGCTTCTTGGCCATCTGTATGTCTTCTTTGGAGAAATGTCTATTTAGGTCTTCTGCCCATTTTTGGATTGGGTTGTTTGTTTCTTTAATATTGAGCTGCATGAGCTGTTTATATATTTTGGAGATTAATCCTTTGTTGATTCGTTTGCAAATATTTTCTGTCATTCTGAGGGTTGTCTTTTCGTCTTGTTTATGGTTTCCTTTGCTTTGCAAAAGCTTTGGAGTTTCATTAGATCCCATTTGTTTATTTTTGTTTTTATTTCCATTACTCTAGGAGGTGGATCAAAAAAGATCTTGCTGTAATTTAAGTCAAAGAGTGTTCTTCCTATGTTTTCCTCTAAGAGTTTTATAGTGTCTAGTCTTACATTTAGGTCTCAAATCCATTTTGAGTTCATTTTTGTGTATGGTGTTAGGGAGTGTTCTAATTTCATTCTTTTACATGTAGCTGTCCAGTTTTCCCAGCACCACTTATTGAAGAGACTGTCTTTTCTCCATTGTATATCTTTGCCTCCTTTGTCATAGATTAGTTGACCATAGGTGCGTGGGTTTATCTCTGGGCTTTCTATCTTGTTCCATTGATCTATGTTTCTGCTTTTGTGCCAGTACCATATTGCCTTGATTACTGTAGCTTTGTAGTATAGTCTGAACTCAGGGAGTCTGATTCCTCCAGCTCTGTTTTTTTCCCTCAAGACTGCTTTGGCTATTCGGGGTCTTTTGTGTCTCCATACAAATTTTAAGATGATTTGCTCTAGCTCCGTAAAAAATGCCATAGGTAATTTGATAGGGATTGCATTGAATCTGTAGATTGCTTTGGGTAGTACAGTCATTTTCACAATATTTGTTCTTCCAATCCAAGAACATGGTCTATCTCTCCATCTGTTGGTATCATCTTTAATTTCTTTCATCGGTGTCTTATAGTTTTCTGCATACAGACCTTTTGTCTCCCTAGGTCGGTTTATTCCTAGGTATTTTATTCTTTTTGTTGCAGTGGTAAATGGGAGTGTAAAATAGGAATAAATTTAACAAAGGAGGTAAAATACCAGTACTCTGAAAACTATAAGACATTGATGAAGAAAATTGAAGGTGATACAAAACAATGGAAAGATATCCCATTCTCATGGATTAGAAGAATTAATGTTGTTAAAATGCCCATACAACCCAAAGAAATCTACAGAGGTTATGCAATCCATATCAAAATACCCATAACTTTTTTCACAGAACCAGAACAAATGATTCTAAAACTTATATGGAACCACAGTAGATCCTGAATAGCCAAACCAATCTTGAGAAGAAAGAACAAAGCTGGAGGTATTATGCTTCCAAACTTCAGACTGTATTACAAAGCTACAGAAATCAATACAGCATGGTCCTGTACAAAATCAGACACAGAGATCAGTGGAACAGAATAGAGAGCCCAGAAATAAACTCACGCACCTATGGTCAATTAAACTATGACAAAGGAGGCAAGAATATACAATGGAGAAAAGACAGTGTCTTCAATAAGTGGTGCTGGGAAAACTGGACAGCTACATGTAAAAGAATGAAATAGAACATATTTGCAAATGATATGGCCAAGAAGGGGTTAACATCCAGACTATATAAATCGCTCGTGCAGCTCAGTATCAAGAAAGCAAACAATCAAAAAAAAAAAAAAAAGAAAGAAAATGGGCGGAAGACTTGAATAGACATTTTTCCAAAGAAGGCATACAGGTGGCTGACAGTCTCATGAAAAGATGCTCAGCATTGCTAATTATTAGAGAAATACAAATCAAAACAACAATGAGATATCACCTCATACCTGTCAGAATGGCTATCATCCAAAAGTCTACCAATAGCAAATGTTGGCAAGGATGTAGAGAAAAGGGAACCCTCCTACACTGTTGGTGGGTGTGTAAATTGGTGCAGCCACTATGGAAAACAGTATGGAGGTTCCTTAAAAAACTAAAAATAGAGCTACCATATGGCCAGTAGTTCCACTCCTGGGCATATATCCAGAAAAGACAAAAACACTAGTTCAAAAAGATACATGTACCCCAGTATTCATAGCAGCATTATTTACAATAGCCAAGATATGGAAGCAACCTAAGCATCCATCAACAGGTAAATGGATAAAGAATATGTGGTATATATATACAATCGAGTATCACTCAGCCATAAAGGAGTGAAATTCTGCCATTTGCAGCAGTGTGGATGTACCTAGAGAATATTATGCTTGTAAAATAAGTCAGACGGAGAGAGACAAGTACTGTATGATATGTGGAATCTAAAAAATAAAACAAATGAACGTATATAACAAAACAGAGACAGACACAGATATAGAAACAAACTTGAATTGATAGTTACCAGTAGGGAGAGGGAAGGAGAGAGAGGCAAGATAGGGGTATGGGATTAAGAGACACAAACTGTTATGCATAAAATAGATAAGCAATTAGGTTATATTGTACAACACAGGGAATTATAGCCATTATCTTGTAATAACTTTTAATGGAGCATAATCTGTAAAAACACTGAAGTACTATGCTGTCTACCTGAAACTAATATTGTAAATCAACTATACTTCAATAAAAAAATAAATCAGTAGGGAATTCCCTGGTGGTCCAGTGGTTAAGACTCTGTGCTTCCACTGCAGGGGGGCACAGGTTCCATCTCTGGCTGGGGAACTGGGATCCCACAGGCCACACGGTGGGACCAAATAAACAAATAGATAAAAATAAAAATAAAGCCATTTGGAGCTTTGACAACCTTTTATATGTGCAGCATGTGTGAGCTTATCTGAACTTGAACAAAAGGGTCAAAACAATTTAGTCAAAAACACTTCCACACACCAACTGCTATTGCAACATTGCTTTATCCGTTTATTTCTAATAAAGACAAACTGTCTTTATTTTTTTCAGTGTTCTTGCATGCCATCATAAAGTTTCCATATTTTATTTTCAGAAACCAGGGCCTAGATTTTACAATTAAGAGAGGAATTTATTCTGTGAAACTGACTACCCACAATGTTTTAGAAGGAAGACTATATTCCCTAAGAAAGTTAAAAGATTGGATTATTTGTAAAAGGAATTTCTGCAGGAGATTTATAATGCACATCTATACTTGCTAGCTTGGATCACTGTCTTTAGAGCTTATGTGATTATAGGGAGATATAATAGGTTTAGAATCTTCCTAAAGGAAAAATTCTGGGTCAGAATTTTTCTCTCTTTTAAGGTAATTGGTGAGCAGACATGATGAAGCTGGGACTTTGACCTAATTAACACCCTGTCTAACCATTCCAGAAAACCAACCGATGAAAGTGCCTTCTGAGGCCAGTCAGGACATTTGGTTTATGAGAACACTGTACATAAGGGCCAACGTTACTTCAGTGGGTCAATTTCATAAATTTTTCTCCTTTGAGGTCTTATAACTGCTGAAATCTGAAACTTCTTTTAAATTGTTACCAAAATTAAACTTAATATGGAAAAACCTCTGGGGTTCTCAGTGGGGCTTATCTGTTGTGCAAAATAGAATAGTCAGGTTGAAAAATCAGTAACTATTCACTTAAAGATGACTTTAGAAAAGTCAAGAAGTCAAGTGTACAGCTCTGTTTATGAAGTAGTCGTTTTATAAAATCAGAAGTATGAAATGATTGTCAAATGATTTTTGACAATTTAAAAAATACTTCTTTAATGGAAGACTCTTCCAAGGTTAGATTACCTTAGCAGAAATCATGCTTGCTAGTGGTCCTTGAAAAACCCTGTTTTAAAATAAAATAATAGCTGGCTGAATCAGAAGCTGTGGCCCATTCCTACTGTCTGACAGTTCCTCTTTGACCTAAACAAAGATTTGAGAAGATCTGTCCATGCATCTGCCCATGATTTTGGGAGGGGCGGTTTCAGTGATGTGAAACATATGATAAAATTTTAGGAAAAAATAACTAACTAGAAGGAAAAAATCTCTATCTTTTATTTGTTGTTTATGAGAGATCTCTGTGCTTTTCTGGAAATCCATTGAAGATTTGTGCTAATAAATGGTAATTTCCTATTCACAGCATGAATATCGTAAAAACTATGAAAAGTCAAAAACTATCTACACGGCACCTCTTGATATGCTCCAAGTGACTCAAGCTAAGAAATCTCAGGCAATTGCTAGTGATGTCGACTATAAGCACCTCTTACACAATTACAGCTGCCCGCCGGACAGCATTAACATGGACCTTGCCAAGAAGGCTTATGCACTGCAGAGTGATGTGAGTAACCAGATTTTCTCTATTCCCTCTTTTTAAGGTAAAAACTGAAAAGGATTTCTAAGTTGAGTGATTTTTTGGCAATTCTCAGAAGTATCTGCATTGTCTTCTGTATGTAGCAAGTATGTAATGGGAAAATGATCCTTGGGATTCTATGAGAGCACACCCCTCAGAGTTAGAGAGGCCTGGGTCTGGCAAAAGCACCCCATCACAGTTTCCTTTTGGGAAAGTGATCAACCTTGCTGAGTTTAGAGTCTTCCTGCAAAATTGGAATAATACAAAAGAATTGTTTTCATTATTTAAATGCATTCAAAATACTCTTAGCATGGTGCTGGGCCCTGGTGAATTCTCAGTAAACATTCACTATTATCATCATCACCATTATCATAATTATCACATTCATCATTATCAATAATTTTTTGTATAGATTGCTATCTTGTCTGAAAATAGAATATATTATTTATAGCATTACTTTTTATAATAGCTGGGGTTTTTTCCTGCAGATCAAAACTTCTTTAGGCAAATTAATTTGTCTGAGCTATACAATTGAATACTTTATCCTAACAGTTCTATTTTTTTAATGGTAAAATAGACATAACATAATATTTGCCATCTTTACCAGTTTTGATTATACAGTTCAGCAGCAGTTACATTCCCATGGTTGTGCAACCAATCTCCAGAACTTTTTCATCTTGCAAAAATGCAACTCTCTGCACATTAAACAACTCCCCATTTCCTCTTCCCCTCAGTCCCTGTCAACCACCCTTCTACTTTCTGTCTCTGTGAGTTGGACTACTCTAAAGACCTCGTATCAATGGAATTATGCAATGCTTGTCCTTTTGTGCCTGGTTTATTTCACTTAGCATAATGTCCTCAAGGTTCATCCATGTTATAGTATGTGTCAGAGTTTTCTTCCTTTTTGAGGCTGAATTCTATTCCATTCTATGTGTATACATTTGGGTTATCCATTCATCTGTCAGTGAACATTTGGGCTGCTTCCACCTTCTGGCTATTGTGACGAATGCCACAATGAACATGGATGTATGAATATCTTCAAGATCCTGTTTTCAATTCTTTCGAGTATATACCCAGAAGTAGAATTTCTGGATGATTTGGTAGTTCTATTTTTAATTTTTTGAGGAATCGCTGTACTTTTTCCCATAGCAGCTGCACAATTTTACATTCTTATCACTAAAAATTCTATTTTATGCATTATTATCTTACTTGTTTCATTTTGTTATGTTTCTTCCTCCCAAATAGATCATAGGTTTTTCAAAGGCAGGAACCAATGGTTTCTTGATTTTTCATTCCAGTTAGAAGGCCCACACTAAAGAACAATCATCTGAATTTTATATCTAGAGTACGTGTTTTAGGTATCACCTATAGCCAGACAACAGGAGTAGGTCATTATTTTAATAGCATCAAGTAACTGTCTCCCAGATAGGTCCAATTCCAAATGATAACTGCTCTCCATAAGCAAATTATTGAATACAACTATATTAAAGTGTGTTGTTAGCCAATGTAGAAACACTCCTAAGCTTACAATTACATATGAAGGGCAATATGTGTAAACACTTAATACAAATAACTACTATCAAGTCTTATCAGAAAATGAGTAAAATTATCCACCTTCAATATGGCCTTCAGTTATAATCTGACCATAGAAACATAATACATAATATGTTCTAGTGAGCAAACATCTCACGTTTGATGATCTAAATATAACAATTTCATTTATTCTTTGAAATACAGCTTTGAATTTAGCAGATTGGAATTATAATTCCACATACTTTGGAAATAAGGGTGAAGTAGAACATATGCCAACTAGAAAGAACAGTGCAAACCTAAGGGCTGTTAAAAATCTCTCCCCAAGGAAATGTTTAAAATAACCTCAACGTATGGAATAAGGAAACTGGTCAGAAAACTTAAAAGCATTATTTTGGGGAAAATGTTAATGATTTTACGAAGAAGGATGATGCTGAGAAAAGAAATGTAATCTTTCTCTTGGTGTTTTAGGTCCAATACAAAGCTGACTACAATAGCTGGATGAAAGGTTGCGGCTGGGTACCTTTTGGGTCCTTAGAAATAGAAAAGGCAAAGCGAGCTTCAGACATTCTGAATGAGGTAAAGCCATCATATCTCTGTGTGTCACAGAGATAGATTTGTGAATGTGACATGGTAAAACTTCCCAAACCATGGGAAATGCCTCCTTTACCACTTCATTTTCTAGTATTGCTGCTGAGGAAAAAAACCCCAACTTATCACGTGCATGAATTATCTCGGTAGATAATCATACCTCTTCACATCACCAAAGTCGTTTACGTTAACCAATCATGACAGAAATATTTTTAACAGCTTTATCGAGGTACAGTTTGCATACCACAAAAATTCACATATTTTAAGTGTACCCCTTGACAAGTTTTAATAAATCCATATAGTTGCATAGCCATCCCCACAATTGAATTTTTTTTAACTGGTAAATGCATCTTTATTTTTCAGAAGCAAGATAGAAAATCAGTAGTATATTATGAAATACACAATATAGGAGTGAAATCAGCATGGTCTAGGGAGGTTGGACTGCAAGTTCTGTTAGGTCGTTGGATGCAGTTGGTATCAAGAGGTTAGGTCAAGGTTGCTTCAACTTTGGCCTTGGGTTTCATGAGATCCCCCTACTAGTTAGGAATGGTTTTAGCAGCAAGAAAAAGAAAATACTTGCAGTTATGGAGGCTACTCAAATACTTTGTCTTCAAAATAGTCAGGAGGGGGTTGGCTGCTGGCGTAGATTCAGGGGCTCAGTGATATCAGACCCACAATTGAATTTTTTTTTTTTTTCCTCCGGTACGCGGGCCTCTCACTGCTGTGGCCTCTCCCGTTGCCGAGCACAGGCTCCAGACGCGCAGGCTCAGCGGCCATGGCTCACGGGCCCAGCCGCTCTGCGGCATGTGGGATCTTCCCAGACCGGGGCATGAACCCGTGTCCCCTGCATCGGCAGGCAGACTCTCAACCACTGTGCCACCAGGGAAGCCCCACAATTGAATTTTAAGATGCTGCTAGCACCCCAAAAAGTTCTCACTCCCATTTTCAACCCCAGACAACCACCGATCTGCTTTCTGCCTCTATAATTTTGCCTTTTCTAGAAATTTCTTTTGTATCAGGATTCTTTCACTTAGCATAATGTTTTTGAGGTTCATCCATATCTCTACATGTGTCTGTAATATTTTCCTTTTTATTAGTGAGAGTAGTATTCCTTTGCACGACTATATCACACTTTGATTGTCCAGTTAGTGGGCATGTGGATTTTTTCCAATATTTGGCAATTATGAATTATGCATATAATGACTATTATAGAAATTTTCTTTGAAGTATTATTATACCTTATGCTATATTCTTGATGACTTTGAAGTAGTATATATGTTGTTATTGAACATATATATGTTGTTATAAGAAGAAACAAAGATGATCTTGGGGCTCTTAAAGCAGTCCCTTCTCTGACAGCAGTTGAACATTCCCCCTGCTGTCAGGTGAATCCGTCATCCAGGAAGTTAGACCACATAAAGAAGGGTCAGAGGTGCTAAGTGAGGGTTGTCTTCCACACCCAAGTTTTTGTTGTTCTTATTGTTTTGTACGTCTGTTTGTTTTTGGTGAAAACCACTTTATCTACTCAAGAGATCTTTCAGAAAAAATTCTCGGTTAGTGGTTTTCAGAAGTCTGAAGTTGAAAGAGGGATGCTACTATATACACAAAAGTGGGATGTATAGTATGAAAAAATGAAGAGAACTAGGAGAAGAATATAGGAATAAGGGTAGCTAGATGTTGCCAGCTCCCAATTGAAACATCTTCCCCATGGCCCCTCTCCTGTGTCTCCTCAGCACTTTAGTGATAACTTATGTACTAACCACATTAAGGCTTGCAAAGCAAAAGTCCTCCTTTTCTTATTAGTAATCCATAGCTATTGCCCTAGTTCCTCCATTCCTCCTCCCTCAACTGGAAAACTTCAGTTGCTGATGGAGTGACAAGGAAAATGACATTCCTGGGAGCTTGTTTAGTGTCATGCAAAGATACTCCACTCCATACTCCTTGCATGCTTTTCTGTTAATCCTTTAGAAAACTTTGTGATGTTTTGAGATTCTGCTGAGCTTTCAGAGTGCCTTCTTTCACATCATAAGCAAGAAATTAAGAGAATAAAGTCATTCCTGAAAGTTGTATTGGTCTGCACTTCCCCAAACAATCCAAAATTAAAACAATTTCTTTAAATGTTGGTTTTTGTATTGTATTCATTTTTTCCCCCAAGCCAGCACAGAATCAAATATTTTTACATTTTAAAATCAGGAAAATTTCTTGTCCCTCCAAAATAAATTTAAAGTATTTTGATTTATTAGCCTTTGGTGAAAGTATTATTATCTTTCTCTTTTTAATTTGTCAAACAGAAAAAATATCGCCAGCATCCAGATACTCTCAAGTTTACTTCGATTGAAGATGCTCCAATTATAGTACAGTCTAAGATTAACCAGGCCCAGAGGAGTGATGTAAGTGTTAATTCTCTCTGTATTTAAATGTTAACTAATACAAATACATTTGTATTCTAAATGTAATGATCACCTGTACTTACTAGGCAATCTAAAGAGACTCAGTTATATAAGCAGCTGTATAATTCCCCAGGTTTTCATTAAAAAAGCACACCTAATTCATATCTTTAGAGGATTATACATATTTCAGTGATTGGACATTGCTCTCGAAGGAAAAGGTAAGAGGGGCTTCTCTTGATAACCAGAAACACAAGCCTATTTCTAGGAAAGATCAGGAAGGTGATTATAGACACTACAACATATGAAACGGTTATATTTAAATTCAGAGGTAAGACAAAAATCATGCTTAGTAAAAACTACCCCTAAGTCCCTTTAGTCACCCACTGCCCACAAAATATAGATAGTTGGTAAATCCCACCCTATTAACTTTTCCTATGCTCAGGAAAGTGTCTACAGGTTAACTTTGTCTTTGGGTCACTTTCCTGGGCTCTTAGGTAGGTCCCCCTACCTTAGTCTGGAGGTTCTTAGCACATACCAAGGGACTTTTGCCAAGGCTAACAGGCACTAAGATCAGACCCTGTGCAATTGCATAGGAGATCTTAAATGCCTACAAATATTTTCCGGGGAATGTGGGGAAGGCACAGAGAGTGTCTTTCATTAAAATAACTCCTCTGTGCAATGTGATCTGCTCCAAAATTATTCTCCTGTGCCGTTAAACACTTTCCCCTACTTTATTTGTTTATGCATTTTTTTCTCTTCCAGATTGCCTACAAAGTCAAAGGGGAGGAAATTATTCACAAGTACAGTCTGCCGGCGGACGTGCCCCAGTTCATTCAGGCTAAAGTCAACGCCTACAATATCAGTGAGGTGTGCATGTGGGCTCAGCCGCTCACTGAGGGTTAAGCCTTTTCTACACGTGGTCTGAGTTATCTTCAAATGACGTTTTTCTTTCAGAATATGTACAAAGCAGACTTGAAAGACCTGAGCAAGAAGGGATACGACCTGAGAAACGATGCGATCCCCATCAAAGCTGCCAAAGTTGCCAGGCAGGCGGCGAGTGACGTAAGTCCAGCTGGTGGTCACCTGTGTGTAACCAGAAAATGGGGGCAGGTGGGCTTCTTATCCAAGTCTCCACGTCTGCTGTCCCTGACTGGAAGCAAGCCAGGCTGAAACTATTTAGAGAAGAAAGTTCCCTAAACAGATCTGAATTTTCTTGGGGGTAAGGATTTGTATAACCTTAACCAATCTGTTCTAATCAAGCCCCCTAATTTAAAATTCTCATCTATATTTCTGCACAAATTCACGTTATTTCTCTTATAGAAATAAAGAAGTTACCTGCTATTTACATCATAATAACCTCCTGATGGTAAACCTTTATCTCAAAACTTGCTTAATTTCTATGAATTCCCTCTTTGCCTTACCTCTCTTTTCACTTCATTGCTTCTACAGACTGATGAATGGGCTTCAAGTGTCAGAGCCCCTAAGAGTCAGTCATTAGGTTGCATTAAAGTGAAGACTTTTGTTTCTTTTCCTATCTTACTTCAACTCAGATGTCAACTGAAGTCACTTTGCTCTTTGAGATTTAAATAAAATGGACTCAAGCCCCCTCCTGCTGTCCTGCAGGAAGTGGGATTCCCTCCCCATGATTGCTGCATTCTCAGGTTTTTGCTTTTCTGATCACCTCTGGCTCCTGGTTTGCACATGATGGTTTTGCTCTGGCTCACCTGGGCTCTCCTCCCCTAGATTTATTCTCTTTCTGCTCTGCATGATCCAGAGATGGAACTCAGACCCTTCTTTTTGGTTTCCCTCCAAATCCCAAGTACAACTTTAATGATTGTTTGAAATGGAGTTGTCACTGCAGCAATGTAAATACATTAAGACTGAATAATGAATGTCCATGTCCTAAAAGCCCTGCTCCAGAATTTCTCACTGATCCCCTTTCTCTGTGGGTGATCTCCTCCAGCCACCCACCCCAGCATACACATAAACCTTCTCTCACATCTCTGCTACTCCGTTTCCTGGGGTTCTTCCCAAGTCTCCTCAAGGACACTTAATTCTCCCCACTTTATTATTCAGAACCAATTAGTGTTACACACTACTGGTTCTGGGTCTCCCTTTGAATATCCAAAGATTCATTAAAATTGTACTATTACTACTACTAGTATAATTCTATTATTAAAATAGCCAGCTATTTGGCTTTAGAAGCACAGAATAATTGGTAGAGTTTGTGAAATATTTATCTTTTCATTTGTCTCTATCACTAAGTGGAACAGAACTTATTTTACTTTGTCACTGATATAAATTATAGTAGCGTACGCACCCCAACCTCCCTTGGGTGGCAGAAGCAACCACAGACAACCAAATGGGCTCTAAATAACATTTTAATTTTAACAGGCTACATTTCATATATATACAAGCAAATATCAAATTGTTTGGTTATTGAAATAATTTCTGGGAAGCTCAATTGCTCAAATCATGGTCTCATTGTTCAGTAAAACCTTCATAACTACATTAAAAAATATGCCAACCTTTGTTTCCAACAGGTTCACTACAAAAAAGATTATGAAAAAGCCAAAGGGAAAATGGTTGGCTTCCAGAGTCTCCAAGATGATCCTAAACTGGTTCATTATATGAAGGTGGCCAAGATACAATCGGACCGGGAGTATAAAAAAGACTATGAGAAAACAAAGACCAAATACAACACACCCCATGATATGTTCAACGTTGTGGCAGCTAAGAAAGCTCAGGATGTTGCCAGCAATGTCAACTATAAGCATTTGCTTCATCACTACACCTACCTGCCTGATGCCATGGACGTGGAATTGTCGAAAAACATGATGCACATACAGAGCAATGTAAGTGACATTTACTCCACAAGACAGTCCCCCTCTAAGGAGGGAGCCTGCGTGAAAGAACCCACTGCCTGGGACACTCACTCCTCTCTTCTCTCTTTGGTGTAGAACGTCTATAAGGAAGACTACAACACCTGGATGAAAGGCATAGGCTGGATACCTATTGGCAGTCTGGAGGTAGAAAATGTTAAAAAGGCAGGTAATGCCCTGAATGAAAAGAAGTACAGGCAACATCCAGACACCCTCAAATTTACCAGCATCGTGGACTCCCCAGTTATGGTCCAGGCAAAACAGAACACGAAGCAAGTCAGTGATGTGAGTACAACAAAACAGAGGGTGCAAAAGGATGGAGGGAGGCTTCAAAAGATGAGCTCATCATTTTTATTCTCTGAGCCTAATATCTTTTCCTTTTAAAATTATTATTTTATTTCATTTAAAAATAATTATTTTTAGTTTGGGCACTAACATTTTCTTTTTTTTTTATATATCTTGCTTTTTACCTTCCTTTTAAAAATGTCTTCCTTTTTAACTGCCTATAAATACTGTGTTATTGGATAAAGTATTTGAGAAAGTGCAAAAAGTTCTACCCTAGAACGACACACACACAAACAAAACTTAAGCTTAAATCCCATACACGTTATTGTGGCAAATGCATCATATTCAATTCTATATTAAGTTGTTCATATTTGCTTTTCATATATAAAATATTAGTACAGGGAAATAATACACATGAGTAGATGATTTCTCTCCTCAGAATTCATCATACACAATTATTATAGATACTTTACTTATGTCTTGGAGGAGATTAGTGTATTGTTTGCCTGCCTGTCCATGAGGAATGTATACGTTCTGGCTAAAGACAGTTCTCAAGGAAAATTTGGTACATGAAAGAGCTAAAGGGACATCAAAAACATTCATTCATTAATTCATTGAATGAATGTTTTTGAACACCTTCCATGTGCCAGGCACTATATTATGTGCTGATGGTATAAAGATGAAACAGACGAGGATGAATGGGATACAGGACAAGAGTGTAAGACAAAGGCATGGATAGAAACAGCATCATCATATGGAGAGACGAATGCTACAGGAGAGGCATGTGCTAAGTAAGTATAAGAGGAGAGGGTAACTGCCTGCCAGAGCTTCCCTGGCAAATAAGGGAAGGCTGCATTACTGGCAAAAGGAAAAACATAATGACAGTCAAGAAGTAATGAATGGAAGGACAGTGAAGGATGAAGGATTTAGGATTGTAATCCTTCAAGACCTGATTATTGAGGGTCTTGAATGTTAATTTATACTCTGGACATTATGGGGTAGGTAACAGGAAGTACTGAAGATTTTTAATCCATGGAGTTGCATTATCAGGTCTGTGTTTTAAAAGAAAATTGGCAAAAAATGCAGAGAATATATTGGAAAGGGGAGAGATTGAAGGCAAGGAGATGAATTAGAAAGCTTCTACAGAAATTCAACAGAAACCTTATTTGGACCTAACTCAGGCAATAGCAGTGGGAAAGGAGATGTTTAGAAGGTAAAATTAACGAGATTCTCTGAATGCTTAGATGTGGTTTCTACAGGCAGTGAGGAAGTGAAGATAGCTCTTGGATTCCTAAAAGAAATTATTTAGTATTTGGAGATTCATTTGGCTATCAGCCATTTCAGATTTTACTTGTGATACATGCACACCAGTTTACATATGGTATACCACACAGACATGCTTGGGAAATGGAGGTATATATGATAAATGACAATCAAGAGATTAAAAATCTACTTGGGATTCCGATTGTGGTTTAGTTTTAGAAACTGAGCAATTTCTTTCTTTTTCATTACCAAGAGGAGGATACAGTATGATTTCTACCCCATGCACTTTGGTGTCTTTTAGACATCTTTAAAATGGCAAAATAGGGTAAATGTGAAGTGGTAAACCTCTTGCATAGGCTGGATTTACATATAAGCACCTTTATATTATGAGGAAATTATTATGTGCTTTTACTGATACAATTATAATTGGAAAGTTTTTAGGGGAATTGAAAGACTCATTCTAACTACCTCTTTCTCTCTAAGAGTAAAAAACCAAAAAATAAAAATAAAAACCAAGACTGTAAGAACTATTAACTCCACTAGCAAAAATGACCTTTTCTGGCTTTAGTGAATTCTGTTATCCATTTTAGGGTTTCACATTTGAACTCATTTTTTATTCATCTCTGGCAAGCAAAGATTGCTATTTTCTTAGGATTTTTTTTCTCTCTGTTTTAATACAGAGTTTTTGGGTCTTCCTTAATGAGATTCTTAAAATAGGAAGATAGCTTTGATAAATTCTCTTTTTTTTTTTATTTTGCGGTACACGGGCCTGTCACTGTTGTCGCCTCTCCCGTTGCGGAGCACAGGCTCCGGACGCGCAGGCTCAGCGGCCATGGCTCACGGGCCCAGCCGCTCCGCGACATGTGGGATCTTCCCGGATCGGGGCACGAACCCGCGTCCCCTGCATTGGCAGGCAGACTCTCAACCACTGCGCCATCAGGGAAGCCCGGCTTTGATAATTTTAAGTAATAGAAATTGTGGGGGATTATGCTAGGAATAACTTCTTTAAGCGTGTAATTAATGTATTTTCCTTTTTGTACCATCCATAATGCATTTTTCTTTTAACATCTTTATTGGAGTATAATTGCTTTACAATGGTGTGTTAGTTCCTGCTTTACAACAAAATGAATCAGTTATATATATACATATGTTCCTATATCTCTTCCCGCTTGCGTCTCCCTCCCTCCCACCCTCCCTATCCCACCCCTCCAGGCGGTCACAAAGCACCGAGCTGATCTCCCTGTGCTATGCGGCTGCTTCCCACTAGCTATCTACCTTACGTTTGGTAGTGTGTATATATGTCCATGCCTCTCTCTCGCTTTGTCACAGCTTACCCTTCCCCCTCCCCATATCCTCAATCCATTCTCTAGTAGGTCTGTGTCTTTATTCCTGTCTTACCCCTAGGTTCTTCATGACATTTTTTTTTCTTAAATTCCATATATATGTGTTAGCATACGGTATTTGTCTTTCTCTTTCTGACTAACTTCACTCTGTATGACAGACTCTAGGTCTATCCACCTCATTACAAATAGCTCAATTTCGTTTCTTTTTATGGCTGAGTAATATTCCATTGTATATATATGTGCCACATCTTCTTTATCCATTCATCCGATGATGGACACTTAGGTTGTTTCCATCTCCGGGCTATTGTAAATAGAGCTGCAATGAACATTTTGGTACAGGACTCTTT